TCCCTGCAATGGACTGGTATCCTGTCCAGGGTGTACCCTGCCTTGCACATGTTGCTTGCTGGGATAGGCTCCAGCTCCCCCGTGACCTTGATCTGGATGAAGTGGTTAGAAAATGCATGGGTGGATGAAAGACACTGACTCACTGTGGGAGTGTCTCACACAGTGACATTCCCACCTGAAATCTTCATGAGGTGAGATACTGCATGGAGTTCAGTGTGTTGAAGTTATTAAAAATGATGCACTGTAATTAGAATGCATTTAAACCAAGGATTGAGTGCAGAAAAAAGTCTAAACCAGCAAACAGATCAGTTTCTGGCACCAGTTAGCACACATGATGAAGTGCCCAGTCAAAGCCAGCAGACACAGGAGTCTCCCAGGACCAGGGATTGACAAGCACTGTTTTAGACTATGAACACCAAATCAAATAAATGAACACAGATCCATTGCTGAAGCAAGAACCATGAAGGAGACTTCTTTGTTTGAGCTGCAAAGCTCTTCATTTTCTCCATATTGCAACTGACAGTTGTGCCATCTGGTTACAAATCCAGGCTCTTCCAACAAATACAAACTTGCAGTTCTGAGAAGAGATCTCTTTTTTCAATTGGCTCTACATCCGTAGTGCATGTACTACACCGAAGTCTTTCAAATGTGTAAGCACTGATGAGAACAGTACTTAAAATGGTGCCCACATCCCCGGTGGGACAGGGTGGGCACACATAAAGGGTCAATTTAGAAATGCCAGCGAGCCTTGCCATCGTGTTTTGAGAAGGCTGGATTATACTGGAGCACCTGGTGAACAGCCACATGAATAGAGAGGAACTTGCAGACTCCACACAGATGGTCCCCTGTCAATCCAACCCAGAATATAAAACCTGAGACACAGTATCACTAATGGCTACATTTCAATGCTGCAAGAATGCCGATCAAACATTGTGAGTGGCTTGTGTGACACAGTGCTGATCTTGTCTTTCCTTCTGAAAACTGTACATCCACTCTTTTGCCTATAGAAGTACGTTGATTATGAAAATCACTACATCTGATGTACCAAAGGGATCAGCTTTGTGGATATTTCTATTGCCCCCAAGTGATTTTGTTCATGAGTGTAGCTTTAATTCTCCGTTCTGTGCTAATGACCAATTAAAGACCATCTAGCAGAATCTATCTCTGTCTACACACTGACAATCTACAATCTATCTTAAAGACATTACAATATTTCTGCATTCTTGCAAAACAAAGATGATGTTCTTTAATTCATGGCATTTTAATTCTCAGGATCATTTAAAGTCAGTTTCAGCTCCCTGAAAATTTCAAAGCCGTTGTTGGAAGTCCCATTTTCTTTTCTTTTTGTTTTGATGGGTCACAAGTTAAAATTTGACCCACATACTAGGGCTGTCCAATTGTAATCTTTGGAAAATAGTCTGAGTACAACTTGCTGACAAATCAGATAAGCGTTGCCTTGTGTCTTTCAGGTCATTTAGAGTGGCCTTCTGTAATTTATTGATCGTTTATCTGCTTGAATGGTCTAATCCTTAATCTCATGCTTGTTCGCTATTGCTTCATCTAGGAAGGGCTAGAGAACAACACTAGCCTGGATTGACTCCTAATCTATTTCCTTATTGATTTAAAGATTGGCTTGTTGACATGCAGGGCACTAGATGACTAGGCTGGGCTATCTGGTTGAACAGTTATCTGCTTGCTCTCCAGAATGTAAGGATGGAGTTCCTATTTGTTCACAAACAGGAAAACAAGGGAGAGTTTCTTTTTTTCCCCAAAACAGCAAAAAATGAAATGAAAAAAAAATATTAAAGCTGAACAACTGGCTTTTAAAAAACAGTTAAATTACTTTCATTTTTCTCAGGTTTTATTAAACCGATCCTGTACTGATTTGAATTGTATGTCTTCCAGCCCCACTCTTGTCTCTTCCATACATAATGTAGTAAATTTCAGCAACAAATCAGTCTGAACGAACAATAGCGAGAATCACTCTCATGCTTAAGCAGTGCCTGTGCATTTCAGGACTATTAATTACCGAGATTAATAGAAAATCGGAAAATGAAAAAGTTAAAGGTTAAAATTTATACAAACTGAGAGGTCGTTTTTTTATGTCGGCATTATACTGAATTGAACTGAATTATAACGACGTCTCACGGCAGGCTATATGGACGTGATCAATTTAGCTAATAATTAACAGGTTAAATCATTGCTTTCGTTTCAGAAGGGCCTGAATTGCCCTCTGTCATTCTTTACTAAAATTATGACATTTTCCCATCACCGTTGAGGTGCGGGGGAAAGTTAGTGGCGGGACCTGAACTTCTCTACCAACCTACCCCAGTCTACCTCTGTTTTTCAATCACAGCTCATCGATGTCGGATAGCGACTAAAGCGCGTGTACAAATCTCGATCGAGATGTGCTGTGATCCCCTGCGTAAATATGCACAAAATCAAGTAAGTCCTTTCCAATCTTTTTTACAAACGGAAAGAGATATTTCCCCTTTAAATAATACGGCCAAGTCTTTTTAATCTTGTTAGTCTATTTACCCTGAAAGGAATAGAGCTGCCTACTGCCATCTGTCAACTTTCACACTCAGGCGCAACAGAGTTTACGAAAAAAAAGTACATTATTTTGCGCTTCATACCTCATGCCGTGGTCCATTTTGAACCATATCTGCCTCCAGAGAATGCGCAATGTTCTGTTCTTCCATAATCTTTAAATCAGCTTGATACATAATTCCTTTCGCCAAGCGCTCCCGCGTAACAGTATTGGGCTCCTTCTTGACGTGCAAATACAACTGAAGATTTCCAGATTACAAATATCAAAAGCAGCTTTTCTGCGAAAGATGCCGTGAAGCCCATCGCTTCATTTTGATCTTGTGATGCGCTCAGTTCCGACCGATCTGAAAAGTTTTACTGCATGTTCCCCAAAGAGAATTAAAAAAAAAAGTTTGTCAGCCTATGGTGTAGCGCTTTTTCCCTTTTTAAACAGATATCTATCGAACCTCGGCGAACGGGTTTGGAGGAAACCGCATTCTGCAAGAGATGTGATGTGAGGTCCTGTGTGAGTGCTGGGGTCCTCGACACCTCCACACCTCCGCGGAGTCCGGTCCCTGGAGCTCAGTGCCAGCACCAGCGATTGTAAACCCCTCCTCCCCTGCGCGCAGCGCTGGACCGGGGCTATAAATGAAGCACTAAGGTCACTCGGCAACCAGCGCTAGTTTAACGTCATTGCGGTTCATAAAACTAGGTTAAACTACCTCTTTTACCTCATCGGTTGAATTATGAATTAAGCAAATTAGATGAGATTCATTTTGTTCGACATGAGAGAAGAAGAAAGCGTGGTTGTGTAGTTCCAAAATAAGTATTGATACCATCCTTCTCGATTGTGAATTAATTCGCGTGGGTGAGATCGCTTTTTTATCTGGGTTTGCACGTCACTGTCAACTGTAAGGAGTTTCTGGTTGATTCCTTCTTAAGTCTAAAGTTCAGATAGTAATTAACGTTTTTTTTTTAATACTGTACATCTCACATGCTGTACTTTGAAATGAAGTGAAACAGCATAAGAACTTAACGACTTTAGCACTTGGAGCAGCACTGAATTATACAGCGTACCGCAAAATTTCACAAATTGAACTTTTTGAGTCACGTAACCCAGTTAAAGAACTATTTGAGCGTCAACAATCTTATTTTTCTATAAACCATTTATGATTTTTTGTATCGCTTCGACAACATTTTTCTGGCAATAGTTTTATGAAAAGCGAAGCTATAAGAAATCTATAAGAAATTCATTTAAGATATTTTAAAGACATGGAAAACCATCGTTCTGAATTGTAAAATAGAAATATTTTATAAAATATTCAACGCATCTTTACGCCATTGCGGATGATTAAATGTGGGTGCAAACCACGTGCGCCCTCATCTGTTGAATTGTGGTATCTCACTGCGAGCATTGCACTGGCCAAATAATGAACAAAACGGTTTCATCCTGTCCTGGGTTTCGGGGGACCCGGAGCTTATCCCAGCACGAAATGGGGACGGGTTACACGCTGGAAGGCATGCCAGTCCACGCAGACAGAACTGCAAGAATCGAACCCAGGGCCAACCACGGTGCCACCCACCCATTTCTTTTAAAATAACTGAAGCATCACGTGTTGCCACATTACAGCAGAATTCTGCAGTGAGGAACAGAAGTAACAGTTATAAGACTGACCTACAGTGAATAAAAAGAAAAGTTTTTAAAGCATTTACAAAATATTTTATATCGATCTTTTATTAGCATTAAAAAACACAGTTACATGCAGACTGACAGCAAAAAGGGAAAGTTAAGCCGCTATAATCAAACCTGTTTTATAATTCATGTGGAAGCTATAAAACACTGGTATATTGCAGATACTTACTTTCCCATGTGATATATTTTACACTCCGAATTTAATTCTAATAGAGAATTACACTATGTGATTTATCAAGGCGACTACTATATTGGTTGAGCTTTCTTCCTGGATTACTATGTAGGAAAGGCATTTGAGTTGATCAACACGGTATATAAACCATTCCTCTTAATATTAAGACTTTAAAGCAGCAATTTACAGTGGGCTTGGATCAAAAATTTAAACATGCTGTGTAGAGGAGTTCTTATAACATTTTTCTTTGTTATTGAGATGGGATTCTTTCAGCTGCACCTTGCTGGGAAGTATTTCTCAAACTGTAGAGCCCACTCCATTCATAAAACCAGCAGACTCATGCAGACTCATGTTATGTGAAAATGAGAATTAATTCTTCGTTCATTTATCTGGAAAAATAAGGGCTATAATACAAATCTTAAATAAAGAGTAAAAGCAGACTTGGCATAAGATGGAACTGCACATGAGGAGTGAGGTCTCAAATACATACATTAGTTTCAGCATAATACAAAATATTTTTGAGGTACTTTCCTAGAACAAGAAGTGCAACAATATGCAGATATACAGCAGCAAAAGGGGAAACAGAAATTTAAAAAATGCTAAAGGGTAAAAATGAGTAACACCCAAATAAATAGTTTTAAAAAATACCTGAGTAAACGAGTCAATAATGAATAATGACCATGTTTGATCTGTTATACTATTAAAACATAAACTGTGTTAAATGAACCTGTCTTTAAGTAAATATGAATTACTTAAAGGAAACTAAAAGGCATCAATATCTAGAATATACAACTTGTGTTCATTTTTTTCTTCCAAATAGAGGTAGTATTGCACTGAAATATAAAAGAAAGTCTTGCTTCTTGGCCAATAGCAACCCTGAAAGAAGCCCCTGAAATCTACTTCCTGGTTTCCCCTGTTTCGCTGCAGTCAGCCCAGAAGATGGTACCATTGATGACCAGGGTAAAACTGAGATAGTCTGCTGATCAGAACGAGCAAAGAGCAAAGCTTTTGGAAACAAACACCGTGAAGTACAGCACTGTTGAACACCACAGGCCATGCACTGTTAGAATCGGCAAAGGGAGAATCAATAGGCATTTGTGAACTCGTGTGCAGAGGTCCGGTCCGGTCCGGTCCGGTCCAGTCTGGCAGGGCTAGTTGAAGTAGGACTGCAGGGTCCCCCGACGTCGGACATCACAGGTCCAGCAGTGAAAGCCCCCGCCCAGGGAGTTGGCATGGCGGATGTTTACCTTGATGGTCTTTATTCCTGTCGGGACGGACACATGAGTCAACCACTCTCTCCCTGAAATTGGGCTTGGACAGCTCGTCTCGATACAGATCACGTTTAAGATAAAAACAGACAGCATCTCTACAACACAGACAAGAAAAGTAACATTCACCAGGCATTTTCAATGCCGGTGGAACGCAGTGTGACGCAGGGACATTAACTAGTCATGACGTATATTTTGTATACCTAACACAAAACACTGTGTATATATCTCACAGCTGCCCAAACCTGATCCTGGAGGGCTGGTGTGTCTGGGGTTTCATTCCAACTGAGCTCTTAACAAGCGAATTCCCAGCTCGTTACTGACAGCCTCTCCCAGCTCTTCAGGTGCAGCTGCTATAAAGAGACCTGGAAAACCTGGAGACTCCATCCCTCCAAGCCCAGGATTGGACACTCTTGCCCTGTACCTAAACTAGTGTTTCACAATCCTGTTCCTGGAGTAGCTCGGTGCCTCCTGGATTTTGCCCCAGCTCAACTAATTGGTTAATTGCTTATCACCTAATGACATAGAGAGGAAGGTGGGAATGACCCCTTGCCTACCACACTCCTGTGATGGGCATTCTTAGTGATGGCTGGAACCATTGCTTGAATTTAACCTTGTCATTCAAAACAGTCGAGAACGAGAGGAGCTCTGAACACCAGCATCTGGCACAGGATCGTGCTAATTTCAAACTCTGGCTTGCTATTAACGAGCTGGAGTTTAATTAAAGGTCCAATCACCTTAATTAAGAAAGTTCATTTGGTAGAAAACCCAAAAGACACCAGGGATGGGAAAGAGCCTCAGACACCTCTGACAGTCGCAGGTGGGAGTGGCACTCTATCAGACCCGCCCATGGTGGGAGGGACCTGTATTAGTCCCGCCCGCAATTTCAGGGTTCCAGGTGATCATATTAAGAAACACCTGAATGCCCGAATGAGGCGCATTCAGAAAATCTGAAGTTGGTACAGGGTTAATGTGCATTACAATATGAAATGGGACTATGCCAAAAGTAAATTTACACACATATGCCACATAGAAAATTGAAATAAATAAGCCTGTGATTAGCAACTCAGCTGGAGGACAAACCAGATGTGAGGGTTAATCCAGGACCGAGGATGGGAAGCTGTCCTGCTCAGTGTAACATGGAGGACATGTGTGTTTATAGGTGCAGGAGGAGGAGTGTTTTAACAACAGTCCCAAGGTGATGACATCACTACTCTTAGATTCTGCTGTATACAAATACTTTGCAATGCAGCACTGGTAAAACTGAAAAAATCAATATACAGTGTATCTGTGTATTACTACTGGTAACCATAATTAATGTATTCAAAACAAATAAATACAAAATAAAATAAACTTACCAAGCCCTTCAAACATCTTTTGGATGCTGGTCTCATTGGCATCAACCATCACCCGTTTCTCGTCCAGCATTAAGACATTCATGGACAGCCACTTGGAGGACATCCACAGCGGGTGGTCTGCTCACACAGGACACCATGGAGAAGTCAGGTTTGAGAGATGCCATCCAGCCATTTTCCCTTCTTCCAATTCAGGGTTGCAGGGGGGCTGGAGCCTATCCCAGCAAGCAACAGGGGCAAGGCAGGCACCCTGGACATGACGCCAATCCATGGCAGGGCAGACAAACAGACATGCACACACTCACACCAGGGCCAGCTTCTCCATAAGCATATTAACCTACCAGTACAGTATGTGTTTGGACTATGGGAGGAAACCCACACGAAAAAGGGAAGAACATACAAACTCCACACAGACAGCACCCCAGGTATGGAATTGAGCCCGGGGCCCAGAGCTCCAAGGTAGCAATGCTAACTACTGCACCACCATGCCGCCCGAATAAGACACCTGTATCACTTAGTATACTAGTATCAAAATAATATCAATTTAGAGCCTTATTGTGTTTAGCACAAAGCGAGTGAAATATTAACTGACCTGACTTGATTTTTGAACAGTTAACGTGTTCTGAAGAATAGGATTTTGTTTCAAAACATTTGTTCAATGACGATTAATTTCGAGTTCGTTTCACAGCATAACTATTTACAAGATAAAAGAAAAACATGCTGTGAGACACGTCTGTGGACTGCTTTTACTTTTCCATCTTTATTTCTTTATTCCCGGTATAGAGACTTACCGTCTGGGATTAAAGGGGTGGGAGGGTGAACGACGGTCCATCCTGCTCTCTTGAATATCTCGATCTGCCGGTCATGAACACAGGAGTGAATCAAGGGGTCGACGGAGGTTCAGAAAACAAATAAAATAAATGTGCTGTGTCTCCGCTAGAGGGCGCCAGAACACAGAAGATGAAAAGGTCTCAAACAGGCCGTGCCCTTACATAATAATAATGTCTCTTTATTAGCCCTATACAATTTCTTGCATTAGGAATTCGTCTTTTTTCGCATACCCCAGCTTTTTCTCCATGGAGACAGACATGGAGAGAAGCTTGGGGTCAGAGCACAGGGTCTGCCATTGTACGGCACCCCTGGAGCAGTTGGGGTTAAGGGCCTTGCGCAGGGGTCCACCGGAGTACGATTCCCCTGCCAGCCGCGGGATTTGAACCGGCAACCTTCCAGTCACAGGCACAGATCCTTAGCCACAGAGCCACCTCTCCTCTCCTCTCATGTCTTTTCAGAAAAAAGTGGTTATCGAAACCATGGTCCTCAGGACCCATGGTGTGTCCTGGTTCCCCTCCCAGCTCAGATCTAAATCTCCAGTGGTACTGGTAAGTGATGTGCTTTCTTGTTCAGACCTTTTCAGTTAACTTGCTTGCTCGTCTTGAGACTGGAGTTTCTGAAACTGCTCTCAAATGGTTCAAATCTTACCCCACTGACCGCTGTCACTTTGTCTCTCTTAATGGGTATATGTCTGAAATTGGTCTTGTTAAGTCTGGTGTTCCTCAGGGCTCAATACTGGCCCCCTGCTCTTCAGTATTTACATGTTTCCACTTGGTCAGCTTTTAAGATCACATGACCTCTGCTATCATTTCTACACTGACGATACTCAAATATACATCCATACCAAACCTGACACTGATGTGGCTGTCTCTATTCTATCTAATTGCATCCCTGACATAAACATTTGGATGACTATATTCGATTCTGGCTTAACATTAGACCCACATGTGTAGCATATTGTCAAAACATCTTTTGTTGTCAAAACAACATTTATTGTTGTTGCAACTAATAGGTTTATTCCATATTGAAAAAAAGAAGAAAGAGAACACAACGTTTCGGCTGTGGAGCCTTCTTCAGGTGTGAGGAACCTCACTATATAAAATAAAGTTTATTATTATTATTATTCACTCAGTCCTGAGTTTCAAAACTACCCACCTGACGACAAGGGCGATCTGGGTTGGACAGCACCAGGCCCGGTCCAATGATGTTGAAAGTGGCGTCAATATGCATGGGATTAGGATCCCTAAAGGAAACGACATGGACTCTGTAGTCCGGCCCGAGGTGTCTGCGCATCCATTCAATTCCCATGTAGTTTGTCACCTGAAATAATTAATCATTTTTAAGTGCTACACCCCGTATCATTTATATTTGTAATTTTCCAAACATACTACCCATTTTAAAGCATTTGGTTACCAAGACCACCTTAAAAAACACATCGTCACAATAGCAGCTAAGGGTTATGAAAGAAATCAGGTCAGAAAGAGCTGTGTACTTTCCCCTGATTAATAAAGGAGTCAGTGAACCAAGAGAAAATTAAAAGCTCTCGTCAGCCTCTGCTTGTGTCCTTTCTTGTCATCAACAATTGATTTGATTGTGCTTGTGCCCTGAGTTAATTCCTTGCCAAGTGGGCATAGGGACTCCCAATCCCCTCCTTTAATTTCGTACTGTACGTCTAGGAATGAAAGCTGCATTCTCACTGCTCTGTGCTCTATGCTGAAGCAATTTTGCATCTTCCCTATTTTCTTGCAATTAGCCCCATTTTTGAAACAGCGAAATTTGAAATACACAGAAAAGGCCTCCTAAGAGTCTTAAAATAAATCTCTCACAGCCCAGCCATGAGTGGAAGTCCTACAGCATTAAATGCAGAACATAAGATTGATAAAATAATGGTTCTCATATTTCTTACCTGACTCCTTTGGACAAAAATATCTCTCCCAGCTCGAATGAAGTCAGCAGCATCAAAGCACGGTTCAAACTCGGTGGTGACAAACTTCCCTTCTGCTGCCAGCTTGTGTCTGTCTTCTACTGTGCGGATAGGGTAGTCCTGCCAGACAGGAACGGACAGAAACAGGTTTTTTTCTTGGGTGAATTGGACCCTCTGTTTGTGGTGTTTCTTGAGCGATTTCGGGATCTATTGCTACACGATTTAGTCCTTCGTCTCCCCAACTGTTAAGAACTTCAATTGCGGCATTAATCAGACTTCCTTGTACAAAGCAGAAGAAAGTACTGACCTTTCTTCGGTCACGAAGGACCTGATCTCTGCCTGATCTGAGGCTGCTGAATGGTTACCGTGAGACACACAACACCATACTTCCGCATGTTCTCATCGATAAAAGAAGGCTTTCAAAGGCAGTTACCTGGTCGTATAATTTGTCAGCCATGGTAGGTTTCGGAGCTGTTGTCCACTTTGCGCCTCGTCTGAAATACTCTTTAATGAGAGGCCGGTAAGCTCTGTACTCAAAGAAGCGAGCTCGCCAAGCCATCGGGGCTTCGATGATCTCATTCCCAATAACGAGAAGGATGTCCCTCGGCATAGCAGCATACATTCCTGGGAGAATAGAAAGAAAAGCAAAACACAGCTGTCGGACACTGACACATCACTGAGATAATACTAGATAAAAGACAAAACCGGTTCGTCCAGATGAGACACTGAAGACGCTAACCCGCCACTGTGCTGAAGCCGGTTCTGTCAGATATTGCAGCGAATAGCTGGACAAGCACAAGCAGATCAGTTAGCTTCTGGTATGCAGTTGAGCAAGAGGAGCCTCCTCTTAGTTTTGACCTCTTCTTATTTCCTATTTACATTCTAGAATTGTGTACACCAAACATAAAATATAGATTTGCCTGATCTACACCTGATTTAATGTTTCAATAGCTGGCGCCCATGAAGGCAAATGGATTTCCAGCTTTTTTGATGAGGAATCTTCAGAGAATCTGGAAGTAAGTCACCCTATTGAAGAACGCATTTCACTATCAGCCTGCAATTATTATTCCATTTTCCACCTACTGCCTCCAATTCAGGGCTGCAGGGGAGTCAGTGCCTATCAGGCAAGCAACAGGCGCAAGGCAGAATACACCCTGGAAGGGACATCAGTTCTTTGTAGGGCACCCACAGACACACACTGGTCTTGAATCTCTTGTCCAGAGGACAGAGTGCCTGCTGCTGGCCCATTAGCACCACTTATCTGATTCCAGAATGGCAACGCTGCTGTCAAATGAAGGCACCAGCATCTTGAAAAAAGATGAAGAGCTAAATGAAGACGATAACAATCTGAACATCTGAACCTAGAGGTACTCTGCTGCAAATGTGCTGTCAGGGGATGGAGACAAGTAAAGACATATACTGTAGCAGCATGCTGGTGAACATTCTGCTGCAGGCTCAGAGGTCAGGTGTCACAGTTCAGGAAAGGGCAGCTGGATGCGTCTCGTGCTACAAACACTTGGCACCAATCTGTCAACAGGCACTGCACCCTTGGCCAAGAACTTTAGGAAGCAGACTAAAACATTATAACATTATAGACATCTAAGAAAGATAAGACAAAATACCTCAGCTGTGTCACACCCACCAGAAGCGTGGCTTTAAAAGGAGATTTTCTGTACAGGTTTTCTATAGGACTGTATTAAGAGTTCAAACTAGCAAAGCTTTTTAATAATCCTTAATAAGTTTCAGCGTTGTGCACCTTAAGTGCTTTCCCTACTGACGTCTGGAAACGTTATTCTTTTCTATTAAACAGGAAAGCAGTTTCTGTACTGTATACAGTGGTGTTGGGGGGGGGTGTAGTCAGGATTCACTGCTCAATTGTGGGTTCAGGGTTCAGGTGCCTGTTGAAGACACTGCTGTTGTAGCTTGAGCTACCACACCCCAATCCCTCCAGTCCACCCAGCTGTATAAAGGGGGAATAAGGAGTGCTGAACTGGCCTCCTGTCGTGGACATGGGAGAGTCACGAGCTCTCTTTCATGTGTTTAACTCCACAGAAACCAATATAAGCTATGAAGCGATGAGCCCCTGTAACCCGTAGAAGGAAGTTGCCTATATAGAGGAGTTTCCTGAAGAGATGCTGAGCATTGTGGTTACCCCCAACCTGTGGCGCCATTTTTGAATGGGACTCCATACAGTAGATCCTGTATTGAGCACTGATATGAGTTTCATATCAGCCCTACTAATATCTTGCCTGTGGGCCTCCTTAAGCTTCACGAAGGCTCTGGTGACCATTGTCACCTGCGATTAACGAACCCCAGCCAGTTTCAGACAGCATTATGGTGCAGTATTTGGTACTGCCCAACAGGGGTTGTGTCTCCCACACCAGCTAGTCTTCATTCCAGCCAGGCTCCGACTTGAGCAAACCCACAATTTGCCTGCTGGATTTCATGTTCCGTATGAAACATGATAGTTAAAAGGCACACCTCCAACATGTTGAAGAACTGAAAACAATTGAAGATATTAATCCTATTACATTTACGGGCTTGGTTATGAAACTGAGAGCTCAACTAGAGCTGTGTGGATGTCTAGGACTAGGACTGCAGAAACGTCCCACCACCTAAGACTCCACATACTGTATAAACTTACACAGCAGCAAATGAACTTCCTGTTAAAATCCTCCTACATGCATCACTGTAAGACGGAACAGCAGAACCTTATGGGAAAGTCCAGCCCAAGGCAGGAAAATGGCAGTTTTTAATTACAGTGCTTAATGAGTGATCTAGGCGTGACTGTGTGGTGACTTTTACCCACTGTCCCCAGATATACAGCTTGACCGGCACTGCCGTTGCCTCCCAGAATGGCATCACAATTCGGTATATTTCTGCAGAAATCTCCGCTTCAGGCTATAGGGAACACAGCTCCCTGTCCTGTAAATAAATGGGTTGGACGACAGGCCTACCTGTACATACAAAATCAGGGGTTTTATATTCGACAGACCAGTCAATGGGCTCTGGTCTTCTGACGGCGACGCCCTCCAGACGCAGAATATTGCACATTTCCTCTATCTCAGCGACGGCCTTCTTCAGGTGATCGGCCGGAAAGCTGTGACCCCCATGCTTCTGGTAGAAGGGCCAGTACTTCTCGTACGTGTTGGCCTACAACACAGCACACACTCTGGGCATCAGTAGGCGCACAAACCACACACGGAGGGCTTTAATTATTGCAAACCTCTTCTCTGCTGTGCCTCTTCAGGGGCGTTCATTGTATCTTTTTATGTGAGAGCAGTAATGAGGGGGTGGCCTTATCGTATCCTCGTTAATATGTAGTCTGTGGATATCAGGAATACCAAAAGTTAACGGTATGTTAAAGGGAATCCGACTCGAACCAATCACCTTAGCAGCACCCAAAACACTTCAACACGGAAATTCGCATCTGAACACCTCGCCTCATTTATTTCAATTATCAGATGATTCGGAAAGGTGTGGATTTTTTTTTTAAGGAGGTTTAAACACCGCTTTTATAGAAGACCAATGGAGGCTTGCCACCGCAGTTACTCGCATCGGCATACCTTGACTTCCACTGTAAAAGGGGGCACTCGGGCGTTCTCGGCTCTTCCAACAATGACTTCTTCCAGCGGGTCCCACTCATTGTAGGAACAGACGGGACACTCCTGAGTAACGGGGTCGGCAGACCTGGGGACCGTGTCCTCCTCCACCACACCTCGCTGGACGGCTGCAGTTGAGGCGGAGGTGCTCTGGAATGCGCGCTGCACCCAGCCCGTTACCGCTCTGCCAAACTGGTGCACAGTAAATGAATGGATTAAGAAAACGGTCAGGCGGCGCATTGTGCTGCCGTGTCGTTTTGTCGCCCACCTTCACACACACACGGTCTTTAAAATAAAATGAAAAATAAAAGTACACAAACTCCCGTTTTTTTATTTCCTTATTCTTTATTGTTGCTATTTTCAAAGACGCTTATAAACATCTGACTGCTTGACCACACATGGAGAATCTTAAAGTAGTTTTCCTGAACTTCAGTCGTTTGTTGTTTTTTTTTTGCATCCAGTATCAATCCCTCACCAACGTGGAGAATTAGCAGGAACTTCAACTCTTTGGTGTTTTAAATTGTTGAGTTTTGTAAAAGTACCAATGTCTACGTGTAAAAACATGAGTGACGGCCTTGCTTGATAAGTGCACAGACTCCGTGTCAAGGTCCACTCGCGGTAAGACCACCCGCAGCACTGGACTGAGTTTCGGAGGCGCAGACGGGCTCCCTGAGCCGCGGAGTTCACCGAGTTCAGCTGCTGCGGACAGCTGGCTGCTGCTGCAGCGTTTCCGACTGCGAGTAAACTGGAAAAAAAGGCCACCTCTTTTGTCTTTTCGGAGGAGAATGAAATATACGTTGCTAAGAGCAACTGATCTACACATTTGCACAATGCAAAAATACTCCCCCCCAATTTCACTGTCTCTAATTGTGTCGTGAACTTTTTATACGAAAAATTTGTTAATTAGTGCTTGATTTGATTAGAATAAGTCGCTTGATCATAAAAAAATCCCTTTTCTTTTCCATTTTCTTCATGACTGGGAATTAATTATTAAATAAATACTAACCATAGCTCCGATAAAGTGAGCGGCCTCAGCGCCCCTGCTACCTCCTCTCAGACACCTGACTCGCAGCATTTTCAGCAGGCCTGATGGTGACAGGAATGACGAAACCCTCGGAGCGGACGCAGCCTCTTTACTAGAGAAATTATAGCACGAAACTGGGGGCTTACAGCAATTTATACCCTCACGACACTTTGTATTGGCTGCTATAAACAGTCTGCAGTTACGTGACCCGGTTAAAATGCATCGTGAAAGACGATACCTTGGCTATCAGCAGAACATTCTTATCAGTCACACCCTCAGACTAAAGAAATGGAAAAGGGTCAGTCTGTGCTTGCAATGGAAAACCTCTTGAATTTTTCCAGATTGACTGGAGTCTAAGAATTTGCACCTGTTTTATTAATATTTTCCTTGACAATGATTAAATTTCAACAAGAACAGCGCCTCACAGGCAGAGTAGCAATTAAGCCCTCATGCTAATGGTTGTGTTGTCAGGGAGTTTGTATCTGCTAATATTTGAGTTTCTTGATAAATCAGAAAATCCCAAGAAGGCAGACTTGTAGAGTAGGCAAGGGAGTGTAATCTTACACTGCACACATATTATTCATGCATTTCAAGATTTGATTAAAGAAATATCTTACTTTTCTAATAACAAATCAAAAGTTTCAAAAACTGAACAGGACTATTTTTAATGCTGTTGTTGAAGACTTGGACCACTTAGGTCAATTTGCTATTTGACCCAGTGAGCTACTTCTCAGAACATACATCGTAACCCTCGAAGACCCAATTGAATGTCTCCTAAATTCTGTACTGAAAATTTTTACAGCATTTCTCTATTCTACAAGAGACAAGAAAATACAGCAGCTACAGACCTCATGTACAGTACATTCAAAGAACTAGAGCTGGTTTCAAATATATCTCTCAGAGAAAAACATTTGTTTTCCCTCTACCATTGGTTTAACATTTTATTCTGTGATCCAAAACCCAAGGCCACAGAATCAATAAAAAATAATCATTACAGATTTCTGCTGACGTGAAGCTTGCAGTCTCAATTTGGTTGTGGATTTTGTGATGCTGTTTTGCATAGTTTGCATCCCAGATGTACAGTATCTTTCAGTCTGAATCTCTCAAAAATCAAAGCTTCAAACATACCCATCTGAAATTACAAACTCAGCACTTGGGGTTCTAGCTGAAAGGACAGCTGGAGATATTCCTGGAATTTGGAACCAGCAGCTGGGCTGAAGTTTTGATTTAATCCGGGTCATAGAGCAAAAACAGGGCAGAAAGCTCTTGTAAAGGCCTTCAATATCTGTCTAAGTGAAAGGTTGCAGGACACTATCTCATATCACTAGCTGATTGTGTGCTCGATATGCTATAAAGCACTAAGTTAGTTATTTCACGTATGCATCTTATGTGCTGTAGTCTAAAACTGATATTTAAAATCTCTTTCAAATTCACATATTAACACTCTGGCACAATGCCAGATCTCAAGGTTAGTGTGAGAACATTGACAGACCTTTAACAAATACTGAAGAAAGTAGTAAGCATAATGAGTGACTTGCAGAAAACAGAATTCACATTTGCTTTCTAACAGTTGCAGCCCAAGTTTCATAAGATGCAATAGAGTGAAGTAAAAAGTAAGTAGAAAATTGATTTCTAAAATCTGATTTGGGTCTTGATTTTCAAATATTTAAAATTATGTTTATACAATGCATGTGTCCAATTTTATAAAGTGTGAAAGCATATGTATATGAATTCATTCATATCTAAATTTTCTTTTGTGTTTTGTCCTCTTTGAAAATGAGCCTGAATATATATTGAACCAGAATGAAAGGACAAGAAATGCACACAATTGCAACACTCACTTTGAGTGCAGTCAAAGTTCACTCACAAAGATTCAATAGTTCATATGAAAAAGAAAAATGTAGTCAACCATTACCAAGAACAATTTCTGAATATGCATAAAGATATTGGAGCCTTCATATCCATAAGAAAAATCTGAGATATCTTTTCTGTGTTCTAGGCAGAAACAGATCTTTAGTGACAATTGGCTCCTTTGTTTTGGAAGAAACCTTTATCCTTTATTTATCCTTTGCTGAGTAAGTAAGCAAAATGAAACTGGCTGTTTCATTATACTGTATTCAGGTCTATAAAAGACTATTTTATTGAAGCTCAATCCTAAATGGGACAGAACCATTATTAATTGGAACTTGGGGGTACTGATTTATATAACGCCTTTCACCTTTCACCTTGTAAAGCAGAGTTGTAACTTTAAAGGCACTTCATAAAAATCAAATGTAGTTTTATCATGTTACCTGTTGGCACAGCATGTTATTTTTGCGACCTTGCAGTGTTGGGTTCAATTCCAGATCTGGGGCGCTATCTGCATGGAGTTTTGTATGTTTTCCACATGTTCACATGGGTTTGCTCTAGGTGCTCCGGGTTACCTCCCACAGTCCAAAAACACACTGGTGTGTTTTTCCCTCTGGGAAAACTGGCCCTAAGTGTGACTGTGTGCCTGTCTGGTTTGTGTCTGTCTTGTCCGGGGTGTACCCTGCCTTGTGCCCATTGTTTTCTGGGATAGACTCCAACTCCCCTGCAACCCTGAATTGGAAGACGTCATTAGAAAATGGATAGATGGATGTTTCCTTTTTTTGGAGGCACATGGATTAGCAATGCTAACCCATGTGCATTGCTCACAGCACTGGGGCCCTGAATTCAATTGCTGGTGTACTGTCTATATAAAGCTTACATGTTCTCCCCGTGTTCATGTGGGTTTCCTCCGGGTGGTCTGGTTATCTCCCACAGTCCAAACACACACAGGTAGGTTAAATGGCTTCTGGGAAAATGGCCCTTGTGTGAGTGTGTGTCTGTGAGTGCCCTACGAAGGACTGGTGTCTCAGAAGAAAAAATGACAATCTCTCCTCAGTAAGGAGCGGTGGCTCTATGGCTATGGATCTGTGCTTGTGGCTAGAAAGTTGCTGGTTCAAATCCGGCAGCTGGCAGCTAGTCCTTAACCCCAACTGCTCCAGGGGTGCTGTACAATGGCAGACCCTGTGCTCTGACCCCAGGCTCTCTCCCTGTCTGTGTGTCTCATGGAGAGAAAGCTGGGGTATGCAAAGATAATTCCTAATGTTATAAAGACATTTCCCTTTGCCAGCAACTACTGCTGCACCCCGTATTGTTGTGCATTTGATAAATAAACTTTGATTTGAATTGAAGGGTGCCTCTGGAAAAATTACAAAAGGGACTTGTGCTGTAATAGAAGCAAGCCTTACCTATTCTGATAGAACAGAATACTCAGTGTACCATCTCTAACACTGTGACAAAACGGTTGGATTTGCAAAGGACAGCAGTGCTGTGGGTCAGAAAAAAAATTACTTAAAAACTTTGGCAGTTATCAAATCCCAATTTCAGGCAATCCTCCAATAGCAAATTCCTAACTCTTAAATTGATGCTAGCTTTTTGTTTGACAGCTTGCTGGGGGCTTCTTGGGTTTAACTAATTTTAACATGTTACCCTATTTTATTTGTTTAAATAATAACAGAAAATGTAACAAATGCATATCCTAGCGCAAAAGAAAACAAAATAAAATGTATTACATATATTTTTTTAAAGGAGATATTCGTTTCTTACAAATGATCTTGACAGATTCATATGAAATAATCAACATAAAAGTGAAAAAAAAAGAAGTACAGTACAAACTGTTAATGCGGATATATTAACTTTTGTAGAGGAAAATCGTTTCTTAGTACCGGTATTAGTGTTTTTTTAAAACCTTCAGCTCAAAAGGGAAAGACTTGAATCTGATCGGGAGACTCATTCGGGATTTATGTTCACAATAGCAACATTGTATATGCGGTGTACTGAACATGTTTCGTACGAAGTATTTGATTTAATCCGGTCGTCAGGAGATTACAGCTTCTTTTCAGCGCAAATCCAATTTGAACCTTTTAGGTGTTTTGTTTTTCAAGTTTTTAAAAGAGTGTAATCCTTCTGCTGTTGTCGGGCATATACTGCCTGATTTCTGGCTTCTTCGTGTTTCAGATGCAGTGACGAAGACTCCAGGGAACAGGTTACCATCGCTGTTGGCAGCACAAAACTCCAGACTGGATACAATCACTCTCTGCACGCCACACAGCGCTCCGCCTTCACGCAAAAAAAAAAAGTGACTGAAAAACTACGGAGTTGTTCCAGAACGCCTGGTGGGAAACACTGTTAACGAGACCTTTCTTCTGTCTGTCGTATTGCGAAGTGTTGCACCTCTTTAGAATTGCAGCTTTTATCCGCAATAAAGTGAAGAACTATTAAAGATTGCATTGCTGTAAAATGCACATTATATTCGCAATTTTAGCTGGTTTGGCAATACTGCCATTGCTCTTCCGTTCATTCTTCCCTTACATCGTCCAAGATTGGGCATACATGGCGAACGTGATGGGAAGTATTGTAAAGTTTGCGAAACGCAGTAGAAGAAATCCTCCATATTTGGTTTTGGATAGATTCTTTGAACAGGTACAGAGACATCCTGACAAACCGTTCATCGTGTCTCGGGATCACACGTATTCGTTCCGGGAAACCGATAAACTCAGTAACAAATTCGCCAGGGTTTTGCGGATCCACGCTGACCTGAAAGAGGGGAATACGGTCGCTCTGTACATAGGAAATGAACCCGCCTTTATTTTCATCTGGTTAGCTTTGGCTAAAATTGGATGTACGGTGGCACTACTGAATTGCAATATCAGATCCAAATCTTTGCTTCACTGCTTCAGTTGTTGCGATGCGAAGACCCTAATAGCAGCGTCAGGTAAGTGATTGTACTGGTTTCTCTGATTGGCTTCGAACATCGGCGCGTATACAAATTACTCAGAATCTTCGTGAACAGTTTTTACTGTATTTGTGTTGTACTGGAGGACTGTGAATGCTGAGATCATATAAAACCTGAATATCTCTAATCTGGAATACTCTAATCAGATTATTCGCCAAATAAGGCATTGTCGCCTTTTGTCAAATCAGGCAAACTGTTAGCGTTAACTGTTCGTGAGAGAAGACTTTAGTTAAACTTCATCAGTTTATAATGGACACGGTAGAAATAAAATCACAGCAAACACTACAAATTACATAATCAGGGTTACATTTGAATCACACGGAAGGTCACGTCTCGCGTTTACTTAGCTGCCTTGCCTGGGTATGATGTGTCTCCATGTACATATACTGTACTTTTTTTATATTTTCTCAACTAATATTACTGATTTTTTTCTAGTTATTGTTGTCATATGTCAGTTTGGCCCGTTACTTTAATTAGGAAGTCCCTGTTGAAAATGATGCAAAGATGCTACAACTATGAGTTTGGGAATGCCTTCTTCAATAGGGTTATTTACAGTTTACTCTATTGTACTGATGATTACACACTACAGTGAAAACGTGTTGTGTCTTGTCTGTTCTAAAGCCTGAAACTGTATTTAAGAGTTTAAATCAAGAAATTCCTGCGCTGCGTAGAACAAGCGGCTTTCAAAAGTAATAATGAGGGTAAATTGAATAAACCTTAATCTCACAGTGTAGATCTAAGTTTCAACTACTCGGGAACTGCCTTTCTGTTTTAATCACCAACCAACCTGTTTTTCAGCTCTGATTGCCTTGAGCAGGATACTTCAGTCCTGCTTTACTCTAGTCAAAAAGGTCTTAAAAAAGTACAATTCAAGTTGGGTTTTCAGTGACAGCAAATAGTCAAGCATTTCTAATTAATGAAAAATAAAATGACCCTGTTCATTTTCATTGTTAACCGTAGTAAAAGTATAGCGGATTTCCTGGCCAACTCAGTAATCAGCCAAACTGCATTCAACATCATAAACGTGTGGCAACGCAATAAGTTTTGGACAAGAACAAGTCAATCTAGAAAGAACAAATTAGCCAGGCAAACAAGAAATAAAATCTTTAGGTGTTAATACCCTGGCCTTTTGTTACCTTAAGGGTGGTGGGAGTGTGTAACAGGCTATCCAGCTATGTTGGGGAAACTGATACCCTGATTTGTTTCAGTAAGCTGCTTGATGAGAAACTTGTATAAATTGAATATTAACTGCCCAACAGGCTAGATGGGTTGGTCTTAACTTGTTTTGTAACTATTTTTGATAGTCTGATTTCGAACCAACTGACATGAACTAAGGCCAAAGACACAGAATCCAATGACATGTCAACCTACTGTATGTTTGGGAGAACAGATTGAACTGTTTTTTTTTCTTTGTTTTCCCTAGAGCTGACAGACGCAGTGGTAGAAGTGCTACCGTTTCTGAGAGAACAGAAAGCCTCTGTGTTTATCTTGAGTGCAGAGTCTACAATACCAGGCACTGAAACCCTTATTGACAAGATTGATCAAGCGTCTGACGAGCCAATACCTCAGTCTGAACGATCAAGCATTACAATGCAAAGCCCTGCTGTGTTTATCTATACATCTGGGACTACAGGTTAACATTACGTTTGTTTTCTTTGGCTAACACTTGTACCTTTTTAAGCAGCTTAGACGTGGACCTACTGTATTGTACAGTTAGATATGTTCCTGCTCCTGTAGCAATCTACCCAAAGGTAGGGCAGTGCCAGCCCCATGTTTTTTACCCTCAGATCTTCCCGTGACAAGCCCTGCCCACTGCTCCCCACTGCTCCCTCTGAGGCAGGTACTGTATGTTAACACCATAGGAAGCTGGCAGCCAGGAGAAGATACATTCGCAGTCTAAGTGCTGTGAATTGGCTGTGAATGACTTTTTGGGGGCGTATTCACAGCTACATTAGTAGATTTTAGTTTGCGTTTCTTGAAAATGGCCTTGGGGATTTTTTTAAACAAAGTTTGTTTTTTTTATCCCCATCCAGTATGTGGGATACCACTAAACGTTTTAGTCTCGCCTGCAAGAGAGCTGGTGCGAGCCCTTAGGAAAACCAACCAATTTACAGTATTAGGCTATTGTCCACAGATCTGCTAGATTATTTTGCAGTTATAATTGTTTTAGCCAGAAGCAATGTTATGCATCAGCATCAAGCTGCCTGTCGAGTGGCCATGTTCTGGTTAGCAGAAACAGCTGTTTACTGTATGTTTTCTCTGTATGGTTGAGAACAGGGTTACCTAAGGCTGCCGTGATCAATCAGAAGCGACTGCTCTCAGCGTTGGTGGTGTTGTCATCAGTGGGCGTGCACTCTGATGATGTCGTCTATGTGAACCTGCCTCTCTACCACAGCGCGGCCTTCCTCATTGGTTTCATCGGCTCCATTGAAGCAGGTGCACAGTCTTCCTCTATTCCCACACAGCAGCGGCAGGGAGTGCCAACTCCATCACCCTGAAAGCAGCACAGCTCCTGCCAGATTCGGGGAAATGCGATAGGGTTCTTTGAGTTTATGATCCCGGATATCTTTATCCTACAAACTTCTTCAGGAAGAAAAACAAACCCAAAACTTGAATGGGAACAAAAAGACACAAAATATAACAACAACCAGTAATCTGTAATGGTTTATTACAGTGTTGTTGGTTTATTTTATTTATTATTAAAGAATTAAATGGAAATGGGGCTTTGAAAGTGTCTCGCACTTTGTTGGATCCTTGTCTTTGCCAGGCTTGCAACTTGATCACTGCTTCAGCACAGGACTGCTCCTCTGATATTCCCACAATCCCTGCTACAGGATCTTCAGAGCTTTTGCATGAGAAGACCAGTTTATTATTTACTTAGTTAGATTGCTACCTGTTAGAGATTGAACCACGACAACTGAACATTTCATGCATTTTCCCCCACTGTTTTCATTGGGTGACACTGTCCCCATGCCTTCCGCTGTGTTAATGCTTTGTGCACCTTTCATTGTTTTTTTTGTTAATTTTCAGTTAACTTTCAGCACTGCTACCCACTAATGACTTACGTTTACTAACTTGGTAGGTCAGATTTCCTATGGAGTAAATGCAGATTGTGTTCAGCATAAACTTGATGCCACCTATGTCATTGTTTTTTAAACCTAAGGCTCCACCATTGTTTTGAGCCGCAAGTTTTCAGTCTCCCAGTTCTGGGAAGACTGTAGGAAGTACAATGTGACGGTGATGCAGTACATTGGGGAGACCATGCGCTACCTGTGCAACACGCCAAAGGTAACACTTTGAATTTACTATAAAGTCAAAACATTTATTACTTTGGAAAAAACGTGCATGCCTGTGCCTATACAAATGCAGTTTTATTTTCCCTTTTAGAATGACTTTCTGTGTTTTTAAACAGTCTTTATAAGAGAGTGCAGGCTGTGTTCTCTTTGCAAGCTGATTGCAAGTTTGCACCAATGGGCAGCCACTTACGTCTGTGTGTGCCATTGGCTACAATTTTTCCAAAAATAGCGTTTGAGGAGGTTACATGGCACAACGAGTCACCTAGATATCCGTCTCATTTTGTTTTCGTTTTCACATTTTACTGCAGCTAAAAAGTTTGCAGTTTTTTCCAGCAGTTTAATACTTCAGTAGAAAATGTAAATCCTTGCAGCAAGAGAGACTCTCATCTGCAGACGTTCTTCTTGCATGTACAGTAGCAGATGCCACTGTAATTCAACGAAGCCAACGGACTCAGGACAGCTGCTTTCTCTCTGGGTCACCCTTTGACCCCAGTTATCCCGAACTTGTCCACACACACTGATTGCCCAAATGATTTTGCTAGTTAAAAGACAACATTTGATACAGTGTCTTTGCCAGAGCTTTCTGCTCCGCATTCCTCTCACTAATTCTCGAGGAGACCAAATCTGTTCCTGGCACTTCAATGCGGTCTGAGCTCAAAAAGCATGTGTACTTCAACGTGAAATACAGCCTAGAATGTGTGCATGAACCAAGACTGAATCAGATTTACTTTTTCTTTTGGCGAGGGCATATCAATCCAATGAAATAAGCATATTTTCAACTTCTTTATGAAGTTAGAATTCAAGATTACTTTTCTGCATCAAATTTCTTTATGTTTACTGTCTTCAAAAACCCTAGTATATGTATATGGGCACAATTGAGGTGTCTGTGTGAAAATGCTTGTGCACCCTTTCCTGTCGAACATGGCATTTCTATTTATATACACAGTACATGCTTTCATGAATTAGATCTACTGCCACTCCACTTTTTTATGGCTGTTACATTTGGGGAGATGATTCTATGCATGTTAAACACTTTCTTTAGCCATTGAAACTGTATCTGCTTGTATCATCATGAGGGATCAAGTCTCATAGTGTACCTCATGTGATACATATGTCTCAGGGCCAAGGAAAGTACAGTTTAGTGTCTCAGGCCTGTTCTCTTTTTGGAACAGCCAATGGCTTTAAGTTTGAGATTCCATGGATAGAAACCAGGAAACCAAATATCACAGAATCGTGGGGCTCCCACTGACACTCAGGGTATGATTTTATTAAGGATTACTTTCAGACATTTTATGCTATGAGCGTGACATGAATGTTTCATGTTCTAGTTTGATTATTTAAAAAATTGTGAAAATTACTAAAGTTAATATTTTTACAAAAGAACACTGCAAGAAGAGTGGGTGTATTTTTGTTATTCTCAACTAATTATTATTATTTTATACATGTAGCAATTGTAGTATTTAGGGAAGCACAAAGACTTGTATGTTTTGATAAGGCAAAATGGTTTCCTGGAACAAATCATTGAAAATATTTGGGAATATTTCATTGAATTATAAATGAACTACTTGAAAATTAATCTTCACCAGGCTCAAACACTACAAACATGATCAGAGTTTTTATATAATTTAAAGCAGGGATGTCTCACTAGAAAGAACACAAAGAAAATTGTTGGATTAGCACTATGAGTAAATATCTACTAAAACATGTAGAAAATGTAGAGTATACTGATGTATAAGCTATAATACAAAATATTCCTTTCATGAAAGTTTTATTTTGATGTTCTAAAGTACTTCTAACCATATATTCTGTTGAAATGACATTGTAATAAAATTTACTGTAACGTTAACTATTTGGTAGCTGTTTCTATCCTTTTATAGTGCTAATGACATACTTTTGTCCTCTAGAATAAATCTACAGAAAATTCTGCAATCAGATCAGAATTAATCCGATGACTTTTACTCTCATTTTTGTATTCCCACTAGAAAGACGATGACAGAGATCATAAAGTCAGAATAGCGATTGGTAACGGTCTCAGGGCTGATGTCTGGAGAGAGTTCTTGACTCGATTTGGAAGCGTTCACATCACAGAGTTCTACGGAGCCACAGAAGGAAATATTGGATTTATAAACTATGTGGGAAAGATTGGAGCCGTTGGTCGAGTGAACTATTTGCACAAGGTGAGCCCTCCAGTACAACGATGGGATTAGGAAACAGGAAACATGTTGTTTGGTTTTTACGTAGACTTTGTTCAATTGACGCTTAATGCTGTTTTAAAATTCTGCTGTAGAAACTCTTCCGCTATGCACTGATTAAGTATGACATTGAGAAAGACGAGCCGGTGAGAGACTCCCAGGGTCTCTGTCTGGAAGCTTCCAAAGGTGATTAATTACTGTTCTTTTTCACACCAGACATTTTTCTTGTCACGAGATATTCATAAAGGGCTAGGGCTGATTTTTATTGGATATGTATTTTTTTATCAAAATAAACTTTATTTCACAATAAGTACACTCTCTATCAATTTATCAAACTTAAATCTAAATCAGGTGGTTGTCCGTTATCAATCAGTGCAAGTGGATGATGGGCCTGGATTTGCACTATTATTGGATGTATATACAGTACAGTGACAAAAATCGGGGTCTCCTGACTCGGGGCTCAGACAGAACAGACGATTGCTCAAGCACAGGTTGAGCTCTGTGATCCCAGGCTCAAGCCTCGGTCAGGTCACTAGCCAACTGTGACTGGGATTCCCCCAGTGGTGGCACAACAATCGTCTTAGCACCAGCGAGGGTAGGAAGGGCAAGTTGGCCAGGACTCTCTCCGCTCTCAGCGTCACAGCACCCCCTGTGGCCTCCTGTGTGCACACCGTTCCTTTTATGGGAGCACAACTTCCTGTAGGGGGCGGGGCTATCTGTGATGTGTTAAACGACGATTGGCTCAAAGGTGGGCGGGTCAGAGGAGTCTGCCCACACCTCTTTTGTCTCTTCCCATGTGCAGTTGTGGGATCTGAAGCTGTGAGCCAAGGTGTGAAAAACATACAATTGGTGATTCCAAATTGTGTGGGTATAACAAACATACTTGATGACTGTAAATTTTAAATGTAAAAAAATTGTTAAGGGATTGCCAGGTTTACGTCAATTTCACATCTGGTGTCTTAAATGCATGAATTCTGAAGTAGATTCCTTAATCTAAAAAGTAGAAAAACTTTTTTTGCCATTCTTTTCTAGGTGAGACGGGACTTTTAGTGGCAAAGATAACCAATATCGCTCCCTTTTCTGGATATGCAAAGAATCACCAGCAAACAGATAGGAAGAAGCTGAGGGATGTATTTCAGAAAGGAGACCTCTATTACAACAGTGGAGATTTGCTAAGGATTGATCAGGATAACTTTATCTATTTTCAAGATCGTGTGGGAGACACATTCAGGTAGGGAGTCACACCTGTGAGTGTAAAAACCCAAGGCCACAGCTGTATAGCCTGTGCTTTGTTGATGTAGGTGATGAAGGTGCTGTACTGCCCTCTGGTGGAGTTCCAAAGGGGCCTGGGCAGTTGATTCCTGTCTTGGGTGCCATGCCCATCTTGTGCCCAGCCAGAATTCAATGGCCATGTCTCAAGCACACTCCCATTCCCATGCCTGACAGCACCTTTGCCACATAGGGGTGAATTCTGCTATGCCACAGGCCCAGCCCTGCACTATGGGAAAATCCAATGCCATTTGGTGCCTCAGGGCGTTATGCCACTGTAGTGGTCTCGTCTATCAATGCTTCCTGTTGCACTTGGCAATGCAGTAACAAACTGCATTCTGCATTCTGCAAACTACCTTTTGGGTTTAATGGTAGACAAGACTACCTTCCTCTATAATGTTACAGTAGTATTAAAAAACACCATGCCATCATTTTAACAACTGCTCAGAAGAACCGATCAAGTGTAGCTCTTCTCTTGGTCTGCTATGCAGGTTCTGCAGCACTGCGGCCAGAGAACTCATTGCAGTAGAACATGCCATCCAGCTTCTGTCTTCAGCTTTTCTGTGGCTTTCTTGCAGATGGAAAGGAGAGAATGTGTCCACGACAGAGGTTGCTGACATCTTTGCAATGGTGGACTGTATTGAAGAGGCCAATGTTTACGGTGTTCAAGTGCCAGGTACAAAGTTATTGTTAGATGCACTATTGCACTTTGTGCTGTTATGGCCTTTCTGTTTTCAGTGGTTCCCTGTGTTTTTTTGCATGCATCCATTTTCTAACTGCTTTATCCAATTCAGAGTTGCGGGGGAGCCACAGCCTATACCAGCAAGCAATGGACTCAAGGCAGAATACACCCTGGACTGGATGCCAGTCCATTGCAGGGCAGACACAGACGCACGTACCCCCACCACACCAGAGACAGTTTTCCCAGAAGCCAGTTAACCTACTAGCATGCCCGTGGACTGTGGGAGAAACCAGAGCGCCCAGAGGAAACCCACACCACCATGGGCAAAACATACAAACCCCACTCAGATAGCACCCCAGATCTGGACTTAAAGCTAAGGCCTGCAAGGCAGCAGTACTATCCACCATGCCTCTGTGCCACCCTGTCTTTTTTCAAACTAAATTTAAAAAAACCTTAATAAGTCCTTAGGGCAGTTATTGAAACCAGCATGCTGTAGGCAGGTAAATCCAAAATGCATGTCAATACAATTTGTGACTGAGTTGCAGAAGGAGGTTGCAGGCGTTCCTTTATTTGATATACAGGTCTGCATGCATATGCATTTATATGGAATACAGCTGGAAATACTGTATTGTTTTGAAAGTTTAAGCTTGTGCCATGCATAGCAAGACAGACATTATCGGGTTATTGTTTCTGATAGCGTGGCTTAGCCTCTGACTAGTATATACTCTACATTCCCTAAGGATTTTCAGATCAGAGTTCTCATGCATGCAGACTTCTTACAGGCTCCTTTTGTAGGAATAATAGCAAATAGGTTAATACCCATTAATATTCAAAATGTTTTTTTTTTTAGAAATAAGCAAGAATAGAGAAAGTTGAATATTATTTCACGTCAACTTTAGGTGGAATCTGAAAGACATTTTCTAAACACTGCATGACAACGGATGTTACACATATGACACTTCATGTGCTGTACTCTTTTTAAAATTGTGTTAATATTTAGCAAATTCAACTGTTAATTGTTGGCTTCTGGGAAAATCGGCCCTGGTGTGAGTGTGTGTGTGTCTGTGTGTCTGTGTGTGCTCTGCAATGGACTGGCCTCCTGTCCAGGGTGTACCCTGCCTTGCTCTTGCTGCTTGCTGGGATTGGCTCTGTCTCCCTCCTGATCCTGAATTGAATAAATTGAATAAAGCAGTGAGAAGAGGGACAGATGTGCCAGTTGTTGCTGCTTTGTCTGAAATAATAATGTTTGCTTATTTGACTTGAACTCTTTCATCTTGTTTTGAATTGTATGGTCATTAAACTACCGTCTCTGATAGTGTGATGCATGATAGTATTCCAAACCCTCAGAGGCACTGACACTGTCAACACAGCAAAGTTCGTCCGTATTAATAGTGCACCCCAAAGGAGAGGACACAAAGTGAACCTACAGGGAGGTGTATTAAAAACTGAGAACAGGAGGCTCTTCTTCACTCAGAGGGCTGTGGGAGTTTGTAACAGGTTACCTAGCCATGTTTTTGTAGCAGAAACCCCGCCTTCTTACACAGAATGACTGAGATCCTTGAACAATGATCTACCCACTACCCAACAAGTTGGAATAGCCCCGTCTTGTTTGTAACCTTTCTTAGTGTCACGATCATAATCCCTCCTCTTAAGGGCGCTCCGGCTCTTTTACTTTTTGGCTGATTCCGTGTACCTGCCCTCAGTCCTGCCCCTCCTTATTTAAGCCGGGTGCTCTTGCTACTCTGGGCTCTGCATTGGAAGACGGAAGACCGGAGGCCCGCCTACCACCAAGTCACCCTACATCTGCAGCCTGGCCTCGTGATCCTGCTTTTATTCCCCGTCTCTGCACCGGATCCCGTTCTGGTTTTTAACTCTGTCTTGTTTTCCTCTCATTTGGATTTCCCGGTTTTGGACTTTTGGACTTTGCCCTGGATTTCCCCTCTGGACTCCCTTGGACTTGTTTGCCATGGCCACGCCCCCCTGTTTGTCAACCTGCCCTGATCGTCGTCTCTTCCCCATTGTCCTACTCCACTCACTTCCGGATTATACCGTCTGCATAGGGTCCTGTTCTACCCAATGTTACACCTGGGTACTATTGCACTTAATAAAAATAAAATGAAATCCGCTTAGATAAGGCAGGCACAAAACCTCCAGAGATGAGCTCACCCAGGTGGTTTTAAATTATTTTTGCATTTTCATTTTGTTCCGCCCCTGTTAAATTGTAAGTATGGCCATAATCGCAGAACCTTCCTATTTCAGCAGTTATTGTGGTGCTGTGTCATTCCTAGGGCACGAAGGCAAAATAGGAATGGCAGCCGTGATCTTAAAGCAAGGAAGACAGTTTGACTGTTGCGGGATGTTCAACCATGTTGTCAGCTTCCTGCCCAGTTACGCAAGACCACGTTTTGTGCGAGTTCAGGTGAGGACAAATGTATTGGAATACAATCTAAATAACATACATGTGACCTCACTGTCGGGGGCACCACCCACACTTTGTAGAGGTGCCAGTTATTTTTTTTTTAAAGTATCTATTTGTGAATTCTACTGCCATGAAACCCCCAAGCAAGTGACACCAACCAGTGCTCACACACCAAGACATGACTGCTGCTGCTTCCCTTCAGCCCGGTCTGTGTCTCAGAAGACACATGGTTTTAATGTGAAATTGCTGTGATCATTTCCTCCACGTGGGAACTAAGTACAGGGACTTTTAAACACAGCACAAAGATGGTCGGAACAGTTTGGAAACGTCTTTAGATTCCCAACTGTGACAGAATGCTTGTTATTTTTTCTTTCTTTCTGAATGTGAAATACTCCAATACTTCCCCCTTCCCTTCTGGTATGTTTGAGAGAGTGTACAGTATGTGATACGAATGAAGTGTGAATGATACTTACCCTTTTTGTTGTTTCCCCCACTGGAGTAGTGTATTGTATTGTATTGTATTGATCAAGATGGCCACCGGTCACCTTTCCTGTTTGTAGTATCACACAAATGATCTTAAAGGGAAAGGTTACTGGTGAGCCATCTATATATAACTGATGTAAGGTTAGTTGTTTTGTTTAAGTGAATATATCACAGTTGCACAACTCTGTTAAAATATCTAAGTTATTTTGGGATGGTTAATTACTTTATTTTGATCAATTTGCCCATCTTTGTTAACAAAACTGTGAGCGAGTCCCTTTAAGAGGATGGTCCTTAAAAAGTGACTGGGAGAGCTCAGTATGGAGAAGGGTGCCTTGGAGAAAAGGTGTGGAAAGTACTCCTGTAAGGGGTTTTTTATTTTGTTATCCCTATTTTTTGGGCAATAAATCTAGTTTTGTTTACATTTGAAGACTGCTTGTAGGAGTTTCTTTTCTTTTGAGCCAAGCCTGGTAACTTGGCCAGTGACACCAACAGTTCTCCAATCATGTCTTCTTTTAACTGCAGAATTCCTTAGAGGTGACAGGGACGTTCAAGCAGAAGAAAGTGAAGCTGGTGGCAGAGGGATTCAATCCAGCCGTGCTTCAGGATCCACTGTACTTTCTAGACGACAAGGAGAAGAGATACGTACCAATGACTCAGGAGATCTATGATTCCATCCTGTCAATGGACACGAAGCTGTGAACGTGCTGCACATATTCTCCAGTTTAGGCACTGCTCAAAAATGTCTGCTAGAATATGCAATCCAGGAATGTATGGTAGTAAGAACAGGGTAAATAGCACAGGCAGGCAGGGTTACTGATTCTCTCATTACTGTTCCCAGATTCCATTCTCTCAAGTGAGAGTAACTGAAGAAAGCATTCCTCAGGGATAAAAAACACACATTGTACTGAATTACTATATCGTGCAGAACCAAGAGAAATACTGTACAGTAGCCTGCACTGACATGATGTAGATTTAAATATCAGAATATTGCTGCTCCAGAACTCATTAATGTAAAGCCTCATTGCTCACACTTAAATCTTTCTGTTAATTAGGATAAGTTTTTTTTTAAATAGAAATATACCCAGGGACTTTAATAAACAGTAGTACAAATTGTAAATCTAATGATACTGACAGCGGGCTCCAACAAGCCAGGGGCAGTTTTAGATTAATGATTTTAGTGCTCCTACCATGTGGACAGTGTCTGAGCTAAAGCACTACATCTCCCAACCTGGCTCAAAGGACATAAAGTACATTAAAGTAAAGTATGAATTCCAGTTTTACTATGCTTTAATGCTAAAATTAGATTTTGTTTTGTTGATTGATACGAAACTATATCTCACAATGTGTCATATGAACAAGCATGCTCGTTTCTACGGTGCAAAGGCAGGAAAAGACAACAGCAGCATGTGTCCCTGCTGCTTTTATTTAAAGCATCTATCCATAAAACTGAAATAACAGCCTTGAAAACTAGTACTTCAAGGGTTGAAAGACACACGACATGGGCTAGCACACAGAGAGCTCGGCATGGAAATGTTTTTCAGCACGCTGAACTAACAGATTCGTTCAAACAAAATATATTCATGCCGAAGACATTTTCAAAAGAGTTACCCAAAAACTCAAAAATGATGGTTGTGTCAGGAATTTGTTTTTATTTTTAAAACGATTTAGAATAAATGTTGTTTTTTTTTCACTGGGGGGAATATTGGTCTTTACTTGAATCCATTATTTTCAATTATGTTTGTGTTTTCACGTCAATTACTCCACGAGTGTATTTTTATAAAGGAGCCACACACTTATTATTGCACAGTCTCTTATCGTGTGAGAACATTCTTTTTCCTCTGGTTAAATCTCCTCTTGAGTCTACTTTGCGATCATTCATACACAGCTCACTTTGCCACAGGGGTCTTCATTGTGTTTTAGCTGGTGTCTCTCCCTGCAGTCGTGGCTAATTTGTTACAGTTCTGGTTATTGTGTTGTACTCGTAACCAGAATGCGTTTTTAAATGCATTTTCCAAAGCACTGTAACAATAATCATCTGTCCAATGCGTTTTTTATTCTTCTGAAACATTTTGAAGGCAACGTTGAATTATGCACTTCCGACTTTCAGAGACAGTCTCTCATCCTAGCGTTAATCCCGCATCAGCAGGGTCCGCTTGTCGGAGGAGAACAAAGTAATGTAGCCAATTCATAGAGAGGGATTATTAGGAAGCATAGGGCATTTGGCCAGGACGCCGGGGTTACACCCCTACTCTTTTCGAGAAACACCATGGGATTTTTAATGACCACAGAGAGTCAGGACCTTGGTTTTACGTCTAATCCGAACTTTCAGAGAGAGTGATGCGCCCTTAACGCGACATGTTTGTGTTACACTACGTCCAGGAAAGTATTCTAAATGAAACAAAATCCGTGCGTCTACTCTCTAACAGCTTTATCCAATTCAGGGTCACGGGAGAACTAAAGCCTATCCCAGGGAGCAACGGTGCAAGACAAGTTGGACAGTCCATCGTAGGGCACACACGGACAGAAACAGGCACCCCATGACCAGCTTTCCCAGAAGCCAATTAACCTACCACCGTGTCTTTGGACCGTGTGGGGAAGCACGAACGCAGGGACAACATACAAACACCACTCAGAGTATCCAGGAACTGAACCCAGGGCATCAGCACTGGCGAGGCTGGTTAACGCTGACCACTGCGCCACCCGGTAAAACAGCAGGCCAGTTTGAAATTCAAATAACCGATACATTCATTCGGTTAACGGAGGATATGGAAGTGATTTCCGAAGAGTTTAAGTACATTTCCAATGTTCTTGCTGACTTGCTGGTGTACCAGTGACATTTTATGAAACGGCTCCAGTGGAACTTTTAAATAATTTAAATCCCAGTCAAATCTGTTTTGAACTTTATAAAAATGTAAATTATTTTCTATTTAATAAAAACCATCCCATTTCTATATTTTGACATAACACGAATTAATAACACATTTATTAAGTAGCCCAAGTAGTCCAATTTGCATTCTGCTCAAGTACATCAGTGAATAAATGCGTCACGTGTTTTATTACCTCGATTAAATTAGGTGAAATGAGCTTGCTCCTCGTTTCTTTTATTGTTTCGTTGTCTTGTTTGATCTTAAAACTTGCTGGGATGTTGAGTGTGAACTTCAAACCGTGGGGTGGAAGGCAGCTCATTTTACAATGGATATATTGTTAGGCAGTACTCTAAAAAATAAATTTAGGAAAAAGGCAACACGGAAAGTCCCATTGTGTTTTGTCTTCACGGGACTAAGCGGGTGACCTTTTATTTAAAAAATGCCAAAACCAGTTTGAAAGCAATTAATTTCCATCGAGTTACTAGAACATCAGGAATTAAAATCCTAAAATCTAAAAAAAGTCATTTTCTTCATTGTTTTCTTCATAAAAGTAGTGTTACATTGGTTTCCTCGCCTAAACATTCAGCACTGAATATTTCAGTTCGCTGTAGAGAATATTACATCTTTCCTCTCCGAATATGCCTACTGAGGTTATATGGTACATTCTGCATTCAATTTTCAACACAGCTGTGACACAGAACATATACACACGAAGAAGGCTCCACTGCCGAGATGTGTTTCTTTCCTTCTATTTTCAGCCTGGATTAAACCTTTACTTATTCATTTACAGACCAGGTAGATTCCTTTGCAGACTTCGCATGCTGACGCAGAAACCCACCTGAACTACTCAGACTAGATAGTTGCTCATTTCTTGTCCAAGAAATGTAAAGACAATAATTTTCTCATCAAAGATGACAGAAGTTTAGAGCTAATTGTAGGAGTGCACGATTATGACATTGTAAAACCACAATCGGTTATGAATATATGAGAACGGCACCAAACGTAGCCTTGAACTTTTGAAATCTTGGCTTAGAGCTCAAAGATCGCGCTTAAGGACAAAGTTGAGCCACAAGCAAATCGTTGGAATGGCTGCTTTTCCTCACAATGTAGAGGAAATTTATACAACCAAGGGACTTTAGTATTCGTTTGACAGAACCGGGTGCGAGTCTACAGCAGCTCTCAATCATGATTGTATTATTTACTATTTTAGCGGGCTTGGCTTTTTTGCCGTTATTGTTATACTCCTGCTTCCCTTACCTTGGCTACGACTTTCTGTACTTCTTGGGTTTTGCCAGATGTGCAGCTCGGATGATCAAGTATAAGAAGAAAAAGCCCCTTTTCACCATTTTGGACTGTTTTTTGGAGTGGGTGAAAAAGCAGCCAGACAAGACCTTTATCGTGTTCGAGAACAAGGCTTATTCTTACTCTGAAGCGGATAAACTCAGCAGTCGAGTGGCCAGGGCGATCCAGAAACATGCCGGCGTGAAGGAAGGGGATACGGTGGCGTTGTATTTAGGAAACGACCCCTGGTTTGTGTGGACCTGGCTGGGACTCGCTAAATTAGGATGTACAGCGGCACTTCTGAATTATAACATCAGGTCCAACTCTCTTCTGCATTGCTTTTCGTGCTGCGGGGCTACTGTGCTGATCGCAGCTCCAGGTACGTTGCTCTCTGTTTTCGTGGCTGCAGTTAATGCCACATCTCGACTTTACTGGTGTTACAGTAAAATGCTCTAGCAGAATTCAGACTCTTTCATCCGCTTACTCGGTAAGTTCGAAGTAAAAAAATGTTGTTCAGAACATGTCAGAACCGTTAATGCAACAAGCATTTATTGAATTATAATAACATTGTTTATGAACGATTTATTTCCACTTCACTTGAATTAACGGTATATTCCTCCCTTTACATTAGAAAAGGCGATTACAAACGGTAGCAGGCATCCAGCATAATTAGCTCTTTCCAGTTTGTATTTTTCTAGTCTCCAAACATTTCTCTTCAGAAAAGATTTTATTTTAATAAGTGCCCGTGTCTGCTCCATTTTTCTAACTTATTCTACGCTTATAACCGATTTTCTTTCTTATATTTGTTTTGTAAATTGCTAACCTTATAACCTATCGTGCCACCAGCCATGTCACCCTGCAACTTACAACTGAAAACCCACTGAAGCTAAGCAGGTGTGAGCCTGGTCAGTACCTGGATGGGAGACCTCCTGGGAGAAACTAAGGTTGCTGCTGGAAGAGGTGTTAGTGAGGCCAGCGGGGGGCGCTCACCCGGTCATCTCTGTGGGTCCTAATGCCTCAGTATAGTGACGGAGGAGATGTAAAAACCGAGGTCCTGACTCTCTATGGTCATTAAAAATCCCAGGGTGTTAATCGAAAAGAGTAGGGGTGTAACGCTGGCGTCCTGGCCAAATTTCCCATGCCTCCTAATAATCCCCCTCTATGAGTATTTCTCAGTCGCTCAAAACCACCAAATGGAGACGATGTGGACCCTGTTGATGTGGGATTAACGCCAGGGTGAGAGTACAACTACTAAAAAGCGCTTTGAGATGCTACATTTAAAGGCGCTATATAAAATAAAGTGTATTAAAGTGTATTAATGGTAATAATAATTTATTTTTATAAAAAAAAGTGTATTAATGGTAATAATAATAATCAGCATTATCTCAGTTGTTCCTTGAAAGCGATGATCGATATGACTGGGTAGCTTGTTCCATGCTCCCACATCCCTTTATGCAAAGAGCCCCCTCCGCTTGCCTGCAGGCTATTATTCCGGAATCGAGTGTTGCTCATCACATGGTTCGCTTTCAATTTTGTTGTAGAGCTGAAGGGCGCAGTGGAAGAGGTGCTGCCTGCCCTGAGAGAGCAACGCGTCACCGTGTTTATCCTCAGTGAGCAGGCCGACACGGAAGGCGTCGAGAGCCTCGCGGACAAGATCGAGCAGGCGCCAGATTACCCCCTCTCTCCGGCTCTGAGGTCACACGTTACTGCGAAAAGCACCGCTCTGTACATTTACACCTCGGGGACCACAGGTAGGTACACTGCCCAGGTTTAAATACTACTTTGAAAAAATTATATTAACAAATGCTTTCATAGTACAAAAGCCTATTTGCGCCACTGAGAAAAAGATTATTTCTTTTAAATTAGATAACATTCCATTTAAATGCAATAATTAGAACCAATATTGCATCATATTTTAATAACACTGCATATAATTGTAGTATATATGCAATAATATAGTCCCATGCAAAGTACCGTTGTCATTAACAGTAGAAGAATTGCATTATTTGCCACTTTGTGCAAATGAATTAATCTAAAGTAACACTTATACTGTCTTTTGTATATATGAAGTACAACACCATGTAATTGAGCATTACTGGGTTAAATGCATGTTTTCACCAGATCTGTGAAAAACAGATTTTTTTTTTACACATCTTGGCAAAAAATACAAAATACAAGCATATTGTAACGCATAGGACCGATATTAGAGGTTGTACAAGCCAGTTTATCAGCGCGGTGATGTCACCGCCCTTCCCCGTGGATCCTGGAGTGTGTCTTCAGCTTTTCCAAGCTTCTTTAAAGCAGCAGCACCTCAAGAGCTGGGTGAAGCTGTTAAACTGGTTCAATTTAGCCATTAGTGAGCTCACCGAGCTTGTTAAGAGCCCTGAAACCTGCAGACACACCGGTCATTAAGGACCAGGATTGGGAACTCTAGCAACATCCTGGTTTGTCTCTCATGCAGAACTGAGCAGGTCAAGCCTTTATGATGTGAAGAGATCAGATATCAGCTGTAAACACTGCTGTTGTACACTCCAGAGAGACAGGTATAGTTTATGATATTAAGACATACATAAAGGACAGTGGGGCAGTGGTCAGCATTGCCCTGGGGGCCTGGGTTCGACTCCGACCCCGATTGCTATCTGTGTGGAGTTTGTATGGTCCCCCTGTGTTTGAGTGGGTCTCCTACCACAGTCCCAAGACATACTGGTTGGTTAACTGGCTGTGGTGTGAGTGTGTGCACACCTGTGTCTGTGTGCCTCTCCTGGGTTTATCCTGCCTTGCTAGGATAGGCTCTGGCTCCCCTCCGACCCTTAGTAGTTAGAAAATGGATGGGTGGCAGAGGTATATTCCAGTACTATGTACAGTAGGGACAGGTAGAAGACAGCACAATGTGAAGGGATGGGTATAGTATTGTAGCACTCTCAGGTTCATGTGGGTATGCGCCCTCACCGCTGCCCCCCACCACTGGGGACTCAAACAGGGACCCAGCCAGTTGAGCTAAAGGGAAGTCTCCCGTCAGCCCAGCGGCTGCGGTCCCTGCTATCCACAGGGAAGGGCGGTGACGTCACAGCGCTGGTAACCCGCCTCGAACAACCTGCAAAGGCGGCCGTATGCGTTACAGTATCATTAATTTATTAAACACACAACTTATTTTCTGTGGTGCAGGGATTCATAACCCTTTGTATCCTGTCAACAGGCCTTCCAAAAGCTGCAGAGATAAACCAGGAGCGGATCTGGGCAGCATCGTTCCTTCAAGGAATTGTAGGAGTGACCTCTGAGGATATCATCTACATTAATCTGCCTCTCTATCACAGCGCTGGGCTCTTAATGGGCCTGTGTGGCGCTATAGAAAGGGGTAAACATTCAATTTATGTAAAGTTAGTTAAATATTCTGGTGCACAAAGGTCTGAAACTGAATCAGCCACAAGCTGTTCTTCACTATTTTGGTCACTAATTTTATAGGCTTTGTAAAATGCCTTCTTGTCAAATTTCCAATTTTGAGAAGGAGAGCAATTAAAAAATGGTCAAGCAAAGAATTGTGGTTTCTTTAGAACTCAAATGGTGGGTTTTAGTGTTTAAGTTAATTAACACAAGTATTGCCTCTATTTTCTTGTTTAGATTTTAGGAGATAAGTCATAAACATCAAAAGAAGCATTTGGTGAGGTTAAATTGATTCAAAGTGTAAAGTTCAGGAAACAATTTGCATAATTTTAAAAATGCTATGCAGAAAATTGTACAATGCAGAAGTTGTATAAAGCATCCAGAAGAGATAAGGAGACAAGACGGGTTCCAAATAGAAGGCAGTTCAGCCTATTTACAGCTCTTTCGATTGCTTCTAATTCTGTCTGCCAATCCAGGTTCTGCAGTGTCCTGTTCTTCTGGTTTTCATGCTGTCTCTGCTCTTAATCGGTTGGTCTTATTGAACTCCCATTTCAACAAAATAAGTAACTTTTATGGTTTATGGTTTCTTGCAATGAGAACTACTACTAATACTAATTCTTTGCATTTACAGTATGTACTTATTATCATTTCAAAGTATCTCAGAGCTCTTTACATATAGGAGAGGACACCATTCATCCACCCCAGCTAACGCTAAATGAGGTGGACAAGTGAGATGTAGCTTTACCACAAGGGGAAGCTTTAGGGAGGCCAGGTTGTGTCCATAGAAACAAGGATTTTAGTCAGGACATTAGGGTTGACACTTCTACTCTTTCCAACACAGCCATTGGAATCTTTAATGATCCAATAGTCAGGTTCTCAGCTTAATGTCTCATCAGAAAGATGGCTTTTCCAGCATCATAGTGACACCGTTCACCACACTGGGGCACTGGTTTGTAAAGTTTGGTCCAGAGAGAATAGAGCACCTCCTAATGGTCCACCAATACTGCTTATATGCAAGGTGATTTTCTTAAGAACTCTCCCAGCCCAGCACTGAGCAGGACTGCCTTGCTTAGTTACTGAGATCTGACAAGACCAGGCTAGCAAAAAGTCTAGCAAAAAGGTAGCAAAACTCTTTCAACTTGATTAAAAACTGGTGCACCCCTATAGCTTTCTAAACAGCTCCTATTGATTGTCTGTTAATGACATCAGATGCTGGTGGCGTGGACATTGTGAAACCCTTCATAATAAGTGTTTTTATGCTGCACGGATGCATTCATTTAGTCAAGTTATTAAAACAGTACAATAAGTGAGAGGAGAGCTAAATCCCAGTATGTGGAAGGTGGATTGCTTCTTTTTAAAGTTTTTCCACTAACACCAGCAGCCATATCACCCTGCAACTCACAACTGGCAGCCCACTGGGGCTCAACAGGTGAGAGCCTCATCAGTACCAAGGCAAAACTCACCTTGTAGTCTTAATGCCCCAGTATAATGATGGGGACACTATACTTTAAAAAGGCACCATCCTTTGGATGAGATCTAAAACTGGGGTCATGGCTGTGGTCATTAAAAATCCCATGGTGCTACTCGAAAGGAGCGTCTTGGCCAAATTTCCCCCTGGGCTTTACCAATCGTGGCCTCCTAATAATCCCCCTCTATGAATTGGCCTTATTACTCTGCTCTCCTCCCCACTGATAGCTGACATGTGGTGAGCATTCTGGCACACTATGGCTGCCTTTGCATCATCCAGGTGGGGCTGCACATTGGTGGTGGTGGAGGGGAGTCCCCATTACCTGTAAAGCACTTTTAAATGGAGTGTCCAGAAAAGCGCTATATACTGTAAGTGTAAGGAATTATTCACATTAATGAAAACTGGAAATTGTTTAAAAACTGGATGCAAACATTCCAGCTGTTTCTTGAGAGAAGTCAGGGTATGAGCATAGACAACATGGCTGGGCAGATTGTTCCATGCTCCCAGCACCCTTTGTGTAAAAATGTCTCCTGGTCACAGTTCAAAATGCACTTCCTAGTAGTTAGTACTTGTGTCCCCTGATTTGTGTTTCACTGTTGTGTTTAGCATGTTTAGCAGTCCTTTAATGCAAGGAAGATATCTGTTTGATCTTTAACATCCTCAAAAAGGCAACATCTTATTTGTAATGTGAGGATCAGAAGAATAAAAAATTCAGTGATTTAAATTCTACACCTTTAATCTATCCTCGAACGAATCTTACCTCTATCCTACCACTGTGCTTGTCTATGTGATATTGGGGCTTAGCTGACAGTATAATTCTGACATTCGTGTTTGCAAGAGGCTTGTTGCTTGTTGCTTCTCCCAGTGGAACCCCACCATCAAGTCCTCGGCTTGTCACTAGCAACTTGCATGAGCATGAATGTGCTCCAGATGTAAGGCATGCTTCTACTTGGAAATGCCACTTTTTGTATCATTCACCACTTTTTCTACATCTTCCCTCCTAGGGATAACAGTTATTTTGCGGCGCAAGTTTTCAGTCTCCCAGTTCTGGGACGACTGTAGGAAGCACAATGTGACAGTGATCCAGTACATTGGGGAAATCCTGCGCTACCTGTGCAACACGCCAAAGGTAACTCCCCTCAGTCGTTTAAGCCTCTAGAGGTGTGCATCACAGCACAGAAAGGCCTCAGAAGAAAGAGGCGACACCAGAAGAGATTCTGCCAAGCTAAAACCTAAACTGACATTTCTAAGGTGTAACAGAACTGCTCTTGCTTCAATTTGTAAAATGATTATTATTGGTTATGTGGCTGAGAAAGACAATATTGCAGGTATGGTACATTTTTAAAGCAAGTCTGTTAAAAGATGGTTAAGGAATAGCAGACTATGTAAAAGATTTTGTGTCCTGTTGCTGTACTGCGTACTCACAGTACAATTCATACAGTACATCATTTTCCAAATGTTGATCTTGAATTGACTGTTTACTGCATCAGTGACTTTGAATATGTCCCAGCTGTTTGCCACTATATTAGTTCTCAGAGTGTAACACCAGATCTAGTTCGGGAAGAAATATGAAACTATATTACTCATGTATTCTGCTTTTTTCATGCTGTTCCTTTTTCCGAAAAGGATGACTGAGGATACAGCCCAGTGTCACATTGCATTACGTGCCCAGCTACTGTGTATTCATCTTTTGCTTCCTCTCCTCAGAAAGACCACGATCAGGATCATAAGGTCAGGCTGGCTTTTGGCAATGGTGTCAGATCAGACACCTGGTCGGAGTTTCTCCAGCGATTTGGAGATATCCGGTTCTGTGAGTGCTATGGAGCTACAGAAGGCAATGTTGGCTTTGTGAATTATGTGGGAAAAGTTGGTGCAATCGGACGGGCAAATTATATACACAAGGTACACACCGCCTTAAACATCAGATGTTTACATTCAGAATCAACAGTTACAGTGGCTAGTCTGTTAGACGGAACAGAAAGTTCGAAGAAAGCTTCAGAGCTGTTATGTCCAAAGTGCTGCTGGAGACAGAAACAGAACTGGAAGGACAATAACAGGTGTAATTTACCATTGATGCTCTCAAATCTTATCATGTAACATCCTTGAAAAGAATACTTGATGAACACCTGATAATCCATTCACCAGTCAAGTAGGTTCACTTAAAAAAGCAGTGATTCTGGGAAAGCTAAGGTCGCAGATAGTGTGACCCCATATTCAAGCACCCTAAATTCAGGAATTACTTTTGCTCTGTAGACGACTGCGTCACCTAGCAATTCTAAAGGGTGCTAGGACCCTTCTTCCCTCGCCACAGTTCTTCTAATCTCCCAGAGTCACCAGTCCATGCACAGACCAGCAACAGTCACTAGTATTGTTTAAGTGCCCTTTTAATTTTCTAGTGATCACAACTCCACCCAGTGCACATTATACAAAACCAGCTCCAAAGGACACACATTCCAGACCAGACACAAGAGCCCCACTGGACTCCAGTTACCAACGACTTGTCCCATAATAATGCAGTCCAGCAGTTCTGTCCCCCAGGTAGCTGTTTTGGTTGTTCTTAGGTATGTTCTCCGGGTCCTGACTGTCCCAAACAAGGTGGTTCTCTCATGCCTCCCCTCCTGAGTCTAATGTCAGGTACTGGGGGATGAAGATGATGCTGGGGCCTTCCTCAACTGCTACCCTGCAGAGTTCCGGGTGTCTGGATCCTCTCCTGGGTCCAGTGCTGTCATCTATCCCACAAACCTTCCTTCTTCTGTGTCCTCCCTTGACTGGGGCTTTGGAAGCCTTCTTGACAAGGGCTCTTGACTGATCCCCAGCGGGCTGGAGGTGTGCCTGTGGCAGCTGCCAAGGGCTCTTTCAGGATATGGCTGTACACAGATGGCCAGGTGTGATGATGCATGGATCCATTGCACCCTGTCGTTCCTTAGGATCCCCTCTCCATTGCAGAACCAGTCAAGCCTAGTTGTAACCCCACACGTTACCCCAGAATACTGTGGTGATTGGTCGGCTAAACTGTGTTTTGTTTTATCATAGAAACTCTTCCCTTATGCATTGATAAAGTACGACACAGAGAAAGAGGAGCCAGTGAGAGACTCTCGAGGTTTCTGTGTGGAAGTTCCCAAAGGTAAGAACCTTTCATCACAAAAACCTTTGGACACGCATGCAAATTAATTTGAAATTTAATGTTTCAGATTTGAATTTAGGGCATTGCTGCTTTGCAGTGCTGGGGCCCTGCGTTCAGTGGGTGATAGCTGCATGGGGTTTGTATGTTCTCCCTGTGTTTCCTCCGGGTGCTCCTGTTTCCTCCTACAGTCCAGAGACATCTGGTAGGTTAATTGGCTTCTGGAAAAATTGGATCTGGTGTGAGTGTGTCTGTGCATGCCCTGCTTTGGACTGGTGTCCGGTCCAGGGTGTACCCCGTCTTGCGCCTGTTGCTTGCCAGGATAGGCACCAGCTAAGTGTTAGAAATTGGATGGATTTGAATTTACAGCAGTGGTTTAGGGTTAAGCCTTAGTGTGATCTTGTGTCTTATTAACACAGGAGAGACGGGTCTTTTAGTGACAAAGATCACCAAAGTTGCCCCATTCACTGGCTACGCAAAAAACCAGCAACAAACAGAGAAGAAGAAGCTGAGGGACGTCTTTGAGAAAGGAGACGTCTACTTCAACAGTGGAGACCTTCTGAAGATCGACAAGGACAATTTCATCTACTTTCAGGACCGAATTGGAGACACATTCAGGTCAGGAGACCAAAGGAATTCATTTATCCCTTTCGGGACTGTTCAATATTTTCTTTGTACACTGCTTGGACCCTTTGATATACAGTATATATCTGTATATATCAGAGTCTGCTGACCGGGCAACAGTTACATGTGCGGCACACACATCACTTCCTGAGAACATAAGAAAGCCCATGTGACTCATTTGATGCTAATAGTTAGCTGACCTGAGTTTCGATTCTTGAAAAGAAGCCAGGGTATTGGCTTTGGCAACATAGGCAAGATTCCTACAACCCTTCGTATAAAAAAGTGCTTCCATTCTGTTGATCTTGACGGGAGAACATTACGAATGAGAGGAGGACATTTGGTCCATCTAAGCCAATAGACAATTCCATACTCCCACAGCATTTTGTATTGAAATTCCTCCTTTTCCCAGTTTTAATCCACTTCAAGTTCATTCCCACTTGTGTTCTCTGGTTCTTGTCTCACTGTTAATTCTGTAGTTTCACTGTAGTCTACTGGGTTGCCTTTGTCTGTGCCATTAAGAATTTTTCATATTTAAATAAGGCCCCCTAGTAGTCTTCTCTGCTCAAGACTGAAAAGGTTCAGGTATTTTCGGACATTCCTTTCATAATAATAATAATGTTTCTTTATTATTATTCTTCAACCCTGGAATGTATCTTCTTTGGACTGACATTTATATTTACTGACATATCTGTCTAGAGAAGATCTAAAATATGTGCCAACAAAACTCTTTAAGCACAATGTTTCATAATTTGTTTATAGCTCTGCAATCTATGTGTAATGGTCGTGAGCTTTTCTACCATTTACCCCTAGACTTTTTCGTAGAATTTTATTGAAAGCTTTCTGAATTTCCTTTGCTGCTCTTTAGTTTGCTAATCCTCCACTTTTGGTATCATTTGCAAACTTGACTAGTTTTCTAACTTGGACAGGAAAGTGATCATTGATATAAATAAGAGCAGTGGTCCCAGTACAGATCTCTGTGGTGTTCCACTAAACATCCACCCCACTGATTATCTCCATCAATTACATCATCACAGTTTGAACATCCACCCCTGTACTCTCTATTTCCAATTTACTCATTGTCAACCGAACACATGCATTTCCCTCACTGCCTATCAGCTATTATTAGAGAATTCATCTTTATAAGTTCTTTTCATACAGGTGATACTCTAGTTCTTCTACTAATTTCCATTGCCTTACATGTAATAGATGTTATACTTATTGGGCTATAATTGCTTGGGTTGGTTTTGTCACCCTTCTTGTGAGTGGGCTCTAAATCAGCTGTTTCCCAGTCCAAGGGCACTATCCCTCTCTTGAGCTTCTGTTGGAAGAGTTACGTCCACGGCTTCCGAATAACATCTCTCATTTCTCTGCGTACAGGCAAGGTGCCATCGGTTCCTGGGGATTTATTAATATTGCGTATTTTGAATACCTAAAACACTCCTGCCTCTTCTATGCTTTTTCTGTTTAATAAAGGACTTTGTCCTTCGTCCCTCTTCTGCCTAAGGCATGTTGTTGACCTCTTCCTTAGTGAGCCATTATAAATGCTTTGCAGGATCCTGGATACTTGAATCAGTCTCCCTCCTCTGTTGAAGCCGAAAAGGACTCAGTTTTCATTCTCTGGCTGAAAAGGGGAGTCAACAAAAACTGATCTTTATTCACTTCTGAATTGAAATGCACCTCAAGACACCCTGGAAACTTACCTGCAATTGCACTTTGAATAGGAGTCGTTAGAAGTGAAATTTATTTTTACTGGAAGCCGCCCATGCAGCTGTGTGAAGTAATAGTCTCTGGCTGGGTACTTCTGTAAAGGGTAATAGATATCACCTATCAGCACCTATCATGTGGCTTTCTGTCAGCTAGGGCTGATTAATGGCACAGGCTAAAGTGAATACTTTTTTCCACAGTTGCGTACAGAGCAAGAGAATTCAAAAGGGACCATTTTTAAGAATTAAGTGGCAGCGGACCCCACTAGTGCAGATCAGTGTTAGACTGAAGTCCTGCACCTAGCACACACTGTTAGTAAAAAACTGAAACTCTGTTGCTTTCGAACAGATGGAAAGGGGAAAATGTGGCGACCACAGAAGTTTCGGACACATTGGTCATGTTGGATTTCGTTGAAGAAGCCAGTGTATATGGTGTGACAGTGCCAGGTAACAACACCCGCCTTTTTACCAATTTGTCCTTTTTAAAACTCCCGACATTTCAATACATTTTTACAGGACAGCTTTCAATGGAATAATATGGACCCAGGTTTCTGATATACATGTAGCTGGCGTAATGACGTGGGCAGAACCAAAGAGAAATACTGCCAGCTGTGTGAGGCTGGCGGGCTCTACAGCCAGGATTCGAACCCTAGATCTTCACACCCTCATCGAGGGGTCCAGTTCTGACCTATAGTGAACTCTCTGTGCCCCTCAGTGAAGTACCATTTACTCTGCTGTCAATGAGTAACTGACCGAATGTGGAAGGTCTTGTGTATTGATTGTGTTTAACCTGCTGTGCATTTCCACTGCTCACTTTAGTTCAAATCGTATTTGGACGACTTGTTTATCAGTAAGAAACAGCTGACAAATTAGGGAAATGTATTACTTCCAAAGTTGGCTTTTGGACCTGTTTTGACCATGATGGGCACCTTGCTGTCTGTGTGTGCTCTGCGATGGACTGGGGATGGGTCCCAGCTCCCTGTGACCCTGTATTGCATGAAGCGGTTAGAAAATGGGTGAATGGTTGAATGGGTACCTTGAGAGAACACCTCTCGAAAGAACAAACTCTTCCTGGAAACACTTAAAAGTTTTTCTGCTGCTCTGCCCCATTACCTGTCTTAAAAGTTTAACAGATTTGTTGCTCATTAATTTTCACTGGAAATATATTTGTCTCGGTTAATGTTTCGCTCCCAGGGCATGAAGGAAGAATAGGGATGGCAGCGCTGAAATTAAGAAATGATGAACAGTTTGACTGCGTCTCCATCTACAAGCACGTTGCCAGCTACCTCCCAAGTTATGCGAGACCTCACTTTGTTAGGATTCAGGTAAGACTTTCTAAAACTTCACTAACCAGCAACATTTAAACGGCCATAATAATTCAGACCGGTTATACTGTAACAGTATAACAGCCAGATTAATTCTGTTCGAGCCCTGAAATTGTCATCATTCTTGACATCAGCCCCTTTACTCCTTTAATTCGCCTCCTGCATCCCTGCATCTACCCCATCTCCATCTCTGTAGCTGCTCCTTAGTCACTCTGCTCTCCATCTGGGGGTTTAGCCAAAAAATTTACTAGGACTGAAGCAGTCAGTGAACATTCTTAATACACTCTCTTCCTGGGTGTTGTTATTCCTAGTGAACAACTTGTTTGCACTGAGGGAGTGTCCCAGCAGTGTGTTACTCTGTTATATTTTCACTTTTATTATTCCACACATTTTCCTTTTCAGAAAAACCTGGAGGTCACTGGGACATTCAAGCAGATGAAGGTGAAGTTAGCAGAAGAGGGCTTCAATCCAGAGCTGATCCAAGATGCCCTTTACTTTCTGGACGAGAAGTGCAAGAAATACATACCGATGACTCAGGAGATTTACGAGTCCATAATTTCAGGGAACATTAGACTGTGAAGTTAAGGTTAAATGGTAACTTTTACTGCCATACACTGCCATAGTGACAGTAAAACCTTGCTGCCCTAAATTGTTTAAACCTAATTGTGTAACAGCAGACACTGAGTAAGGATGTGATCCAATGTATATTTTTTATGATTGGTCTAGGATGAAGGAGGACCAGAACTTGTCTGCTTAAGTTCGAGTGGGGACCTGTGTCAGTATGCGTTGGCTATGTAGTAAAAGTTAATCCCACATTAACTCCAGCGAAACTGTTGTGTTTCTTCAGTCTGTTTTTCAGTATGAAATTAACCAGTACTTGTTTGCTTTTGTTAAGCATAGAGAATGAGCCATAAAATGTCGTATTTTACTGCTTGCATAATATAATCAATACAATGGCACGTTGGATCACACTGTTGGTCTAATTCCAGTATCAAAGTTTAACATTTTTTCCAGATTAAGAAATGTTCATCATGCATGAAACACCCGTGTCTGGGGTGTTATGGGGGAGTTGGCAGAGTGGAGTGATGGGTTAAATTCAGTGGATTTAACAAATGCCTGGACAAAATGACCCATTGGTGCCTGGTCTTGGACCTACACTTGTTACCCAAGTTATTCACTTATTCAGCATAATAAATGAACTGTGCCTTTTTAACTGTCGGTCTTATGTGTCTCAGAGGTGCCTTGATGAATGACTGCAGCTCAGCTTTCACTGTACTCTAGCAGAAGTTTCACATCTCTGAAATCTCATTGATCATTGACCTAAAGCCACCCACCTAATACTTTTTCAAGTATACCATGTACAGTAAAAGTAACTCTCAAATTGTGCAATCATAAATTGGTTGATTGTGTATTAGCACACCTCAATATTATATACCACTTCTTAATCTAGGGTAAATCGTAAACCTTAAAATTAAATGTGAAATGTTAAAAAAGCCTACCATTAATAATAACTAAAACTATAAAAAGGGGATTATTGGTAATATTAGTTGAGAATTGTACATTTCCCACACCATTCACCACCCACAGTCATTTTTACATAAAAATTGCCAGAAATTAACATATGTTAGTTTGAATATTACTTTTAGTTTAAATATATAAACATCTTCTATGAGTAAATGTATGTAATTGGTTGTATTGGGGAGATCAACACTGGTAGAAGTTTTTAATCCATATACAGTATAAAGCAAAAAATACCCGTATATTAATATTGTACTCATCTCAATGAAAAAATCCAGGAAGAAATTGACATGACATGTACAAAAATATTATATCATGTAATTTAGTAATAAGCTCAGGGTTCTATGTTCATATTACACTGACATCATCGCAATAGTAAACGTGATTAATCAACCACATGTGAACGGTTCCCCAGTTTAAGAAGTATCATCTCAAGAGGCATACAGACATTTAATTCATGTAGTCATTCCTGATTACATTTAAATGTGATTAGTTGATTGGCAGCAGTCCAAGTTTACATGTAGATTAATTACGTTCTTTAGTATCTCCTGGGATAGCAGATAATTGGCTTAAATGTGTTTTTCCCGTAGAAGCTCCCCATGAATTCTTTCTAGTGCTAGTCGCCGAGGCTGCAGTTTTTGACAATTCTAGTCAGAAATAAACCCTCCAGACTTTTACATCCATAGATGAGAAGAAAGTTTATTAGGTGTTAAACAGACTCTATACATTATATAAATAACTTACTGTAACATTGAATGAACTTAAATCTTGTATTGATATAAAACCTCTAAAATCATTCACTGCAATAAAATCCGGAACATCTGAGAGATGAATCTGACCAGAGTGGGCTTTAGTAATAGGGATTCAAGCATGAATAGGGCGGCTTTAACAGAGACTCATCCTGCAATGATGGAACATATTGTCAGAGCTGTAAATATCCCAAAAAAAGTGTGTGGCTTCTTTTTGCCATCCATCCATTTTCCACCCACTTCTAGCCACAATTCAGGGTGGCAGGGGAGCAGGAGCAGGCCTATCCCAGCAAGTAACAGGCATAAGGTAGGGTGACCCTGGGTAACAGACCCCCGGGTGGGACACCAGACCATCACAGGGCACACACAGAGCACAGACACAGACACGCAGACACGCACACCCTCACACCAGGACCAATTAACCTACAAGTATGTCTTTGGACTGTGAGAGAAAACAGGAGTATCTGAAAGAAACCCCCGCAAGCATGGGCAGAGCATACAAACAACACACAAATGGCACCACAGGTCTGGAATTGAACCCCGGGCCCCAGCACTGCAGGGCGCAGCTAGCCACTGCACCACTGTGCCACCCACCTAATTTCAGATAAAATAATAAGCAAGTACTTTAGTTAAAATCTTCAGATCTATATTAATGAATTAGGGTGATACGATTCACATAGAGCGATATTTATGTTTTAAAAATACTTACTAAAGTCTTGAGCTTAACCATTTAAGAAACATTTTAATATATATATATTTTAATATGCATTCATACATCCGAAATAATAAATCTCCAAACTGTTTTGAATTAAAAAGTCACTTGTAAAATTGTTGAAGACAAATACTTTGCCAAACTGGAGTGTCCTCATTCAGTACTTCATTCTTTATTTGTCAAAGGTTTCTCTCCAAACCTCTCTATCCATGTCTGACGGCTGAGCCAGAAGGAAGTGCTCCATTTTATCATGAAAGATAAGTCTCCCCTTTCAGTACAGTATAAATTCTGACAGCAATTCTGAACACAGACAATGATTTCCTGTGAATTACAAATTTTCAGCTGATAAGACAGAGGTGACATGTGCATTATCTCCAAACATAATAATGTTGAATAGTTCTCAGTATTGTTTCCTCACTTTTGTGTATATTTCATAGATTATACTGATTCCTTAATGTTTTACATAGAACAGCACACTGAATAGTGGAATGCCTTATTTAAACTTTTTCAAATTTTTAAGTTGAATTCCAGCTTCCCTCCAGCTTTTCTTTTCTTTATCTTATCGGAATATAAGATTATCTTCCCTTTTTTTTTGTTAATTTTGAATTGCTTATGATTTTTGCTATACCTGCCGAATCTGAAAAAGCCTGCTGTGTAGTTTTCACAGCTTGGCTCAGGGCTACGAATCCTGCGGCTGCACACGGGAGAAAAGGAGTGACTGAAAGCAGACTCCGCCTCCCACCCACCTTTGAACCAATCGTCTTTTAACACATCGCAGTCAGCAGCCCCCAGCACCAGATGTTAGAGGCTGACTGGAGGACACCACCATGCTTCCGCATGCTATTCTTGCGGGGATACCTGCATCTCAGAGTGGAGAGAGTCCTGGGCAACTATCACCCTACTCTCCTGGGGAATCCGAGTCACAGTCAGCTAGTGACATCTACCATGCTTGAACCCGTGATTATAGAGCATTTGAGGAAAAAGAAAGTCACAGAAGTCTGAATTATTCAAAAGATAAGGATTTATTGTCAATCTATAAACAAAGGTAAACTTGTCTTTTGCAAAAATAACTGGTGAAATTAGAGCATGATTGCAATTGCTTGTCGAAAGTAGTTGTAGTAGCTAATTCTACACATACAGAATTTAAAATAATAATATAATCAATTGTAGCAGAAAAGTTAGGCACAGGAGAGAAACAAAAATGTCCTTATTGTGGGTTCACTTCAATACATCAGTCCGTCCATAATCTACCACAAATGTGCAATTTTAGTACATCTGTGCAAGGATACAGATTCATCTCACGACAGGTCCACACTCCTCATGTGATCACACAGTGCAAGATGAAGGCTGTTATTAACTAGACCTGAGAGCACTTTTTCACTGCTGCTGGTTTACATACAGGTATGTATCGGAATACAGTGGACATTTACCGGCACGAAAGTCTAAATTTGCTTTTGCTAAAAAAAATATCATCAGTAAGCCTGTGTTTAAAGCAAAATCTCCATCTGAAATTAAAAAGTAATTGACCTCCAGACACCTCCAAAGTGAAAGAGAAAGGCATGATCTGTACGTAGCTTTAACTGTCCAGCAAAGAGTGCAGCATATAAACCTTTGCCTAAACGGTTCTGTTAAGAAGTAAAATAAGTGTTTTCTTTCATTAAAACTGATAATTCTGTTTCCATCAATGTGTTTTACCTTTTCCAAAGAGTCTAAAATTCCTCTTCGGTGTACTCATGATAAATCACCTCTGGCCTACAGGTTTCCCCACGAGGGGTTAGTCAACTCTGGTGTTTGAGGCAGGTTAAGGCGGAATTCACTCTGTTGCATGAGAACCATGGCTTGTGGAATATCTGCAAGCTTTTCAAGGAGCAGCAGGGCTGCTGTATGCCACACTGAATGCCACACTGGGGAAAGCTGGGCACGCTGTAAAACTTGGTTAGCTTTTTCAAGGCACTTTTTTCCAGCAGGGTAACATTTTTGGGGAGACTGGAGAGGAGGCCCCCTTTCGCGCACGGCCCATTTCTGACAGACCCCTCTTGGGAGAGGTGCTGGAGGATGTTGAGGTCTTTCAGGACGCTTAGCGGTTCGCTGTTACAGCTCAGGGAACGGGTATTTTTTTTCTGCCCTTGTCCCGCAAGGTGGCTGTAGACCTGGGAGGCCTGCTTGAACTTATTGACTTTCTGAACCTCCACAGGGAAGGTGTCATCGAAAGGGTCTCCCAGTGGCTCTGTCTGTAGACAGCCAGAGTGTTTATCCCCATCTGATTCGCTCACAGGATGTCTCCTTGCTGCTCTAGGTTTCTGGGGCTCAGGCACGGACAACATTTTAGCTAAGACATTTTCCCCGGCGCTACTGCTGGTGTGAGACAGCTGCTCTGCAGTGCCAGAGGAATGGTTCTCTGAACTCCTGAGGAGTATTTGGGCAGCGGTCTGCTGGATGATGCCCCAGTCTCTCAGGATGTCCTCTTTGGTAGTGAACTGGGAAGTCACTGTGAAGCGGATCACAAGGGTCTTACGGATGGCTGCTGGAATGAGGAACATGGTGCCGGATTTTGTCAACGACTTCAAGAGCTCTTCGGTCAGAGCATTTCCTCCCTGCAGAACAAAAAAAGAAAATACTCCACCTAAGAAAAACAGAAGGCTTGACAGGTGGAGAAAAGCCTACAAAGCCTGCAAAAACAGGTTTTCCTAGTTTATTTGTGTTACCAACAATTCACAGATCTTTTGCAATCCGCTGCAGGAAAACAGTGTCATTGACCTGCAAAGGATTAAAGTCTAAATCCCAGTTTATTGCTACTTCAGCATAACCAGAATGTCTTAACCTTTGTCAAGCAACTGCAACAGCAACACTTCCTCCTGCTGGTGAAACATGGTAACAGCAAATAAATTACTAATCCAAACAGCACCAACCTTTCCTGAATGACCCACCTTGGAGGAACTATCTTTCTGAAACTGAAAATTAAGAACAGAATTAAGAATTAAATTGTTTCATATCTACTTTTAATTTTATCCTACATTAAAAGCATATATATATGTGTTCCTAATTTGGGATAATATATTCTGCACAGGAAACATTTTATTTCTTTATCCTTTAATTCTTAGCTGCATGTCTCACTTTCCAGTTTTTTTGCACATCTCTCCTTTGTAGATTTTTGTCAGCCCAATGTAATTAATGGGTAAGATGAGAAGCCGTACCATGCATACCGTACACGTTTCTGTGCTTCACTCATACACACCTTCAAGCAAAACACCACCAGTCCAAGGTGTCTCTGCGCTGGAATTTCAAAATTAGGATCACTCCGAACGAGAGACTCGAAGAGCTTTGCCATCTCCACACCCTGAGAATGAAGGAAATGCACAAGGGAAGTATACAGCTGACAAAGGCAGTGTGTAACACCCATGTGCTTCAGGCGAGGTAGCACTTACGTGACGGACGTGCGCCTGAAGGTTTTTTACTCCGAACGAGCGCATCACAAACCACAGTTTAAGGGAGCGAAATCTTCGGCTGAGTGGGATCTGCCAGTGCTGGAAAATGATACAGGAGAATAAGTCTTGTGTGGGTGACATACTGAGCCTGAGCCTTCCTCTAGGCAATCCGCTTGGCCCCGCAGATGAGCGTTCTCTCCCTTCGAAAAGACCGAGAACAGTACGATAAGGGGGACAGCGTAGAGTCATGGGTACATCTCTGGGATTGTGGGTCATGGGATGGAGGCCCTGCTGCAGATACTGCTGTTGCACCCTGAGGAAGGTACTACACCCCAGTTGCTCCAGTCTCCCCAGTGGTGCGAAATGGCACCAGTACGCTATAAACACAAGAAACCACTTGCTATTTGTTCAGGGAGCCAGGATAAACTCTGGTCCATTAAGCGCTTGTCTTAATAACCTTATCTGCATAAAGGAATCAAAGCAGCTGACCTTCATTATAAGGCATTGCCAAGTTGACTTTGCAGTTTCCTGTAACTTTACAAATACAGTATGTAAACGTATTCTGATCCACAGGGAAGAGCTATTGGTCCACAAATAGGACTTACAGCAGCAACCCAGTTTTCCATAGAGGTCCCCCACCCACTAATGAACCAGGCCCAGCCTTCCTTGGCTGATGAGATCCAACAGAATTGGGCTACAAGGTGGTAACATGGCTGTTTTTTTTTGTAGCACCATACATTATGCAACATTCACATTATGTTAATGCTTTATTGTGCCATTTTTCTGTTTAAACAGAGAGATCAAGTAAATAATATAAACAATGAGTACAACAAGGAGTCCAATTGATAAGAGTACAAAAACTCAGAAGTACCATAAAGTCAGTGGCAGCACCAGAGTTTTCATGCCTGAGGTAGACTGGGTTGACACTGAAGGCCTGCTGCAACTTGTACTTATCCTTCACCCTGTAACGACAAACAAAGAGGCCCAGTTAGCGCCTTTCTTCGGGGACGTTCAGTGAAATGTGTCTTTAACAGGAGGAAGCCCCTTACCAAAAAGCAGTGCAGTCGAAATGCACCATCATCCACTTGGAGGGGTTGAAGACGAACGAGTCGGCAAACTCGACGCCTTTGAGGAAGTCCCTGAACTCCGGACAGAAGAAGGACGTCCCAGCGTAAGCCGCGTCTATGTGCAGCCAGAGGCCTTCGCTGGCACCTGAATGAGGAATGAGACAGCCGGTCCTTTTTCATCCATCCGCCTGTTTTCTAACCACTTTATCCAAATCAGGATCACACTGGATGAAAGCCAGTTCATCACAGGGCACACACGCACACAGACACGCACACACTCGCACCAGGGCCAACTTTCCCAGAAGCCAGTTAACCCACCAGTATGTCTTCGGACTGTGGGAGAAAACCAGAGCACCTGGATGAAACCCACAAGAACATGGGGAGAATACACAAACTCCATGCAGCTAGCAACCCAGGGCTTCAGCGCTGCAAGGCAGCAATGCTAACCAGTGTGCCAGCACGCCATTCCTGCTTTTTTCAATGCATCAAAAAGTGTACAGTGCATTCCTTACCAACAAAATACTCCACTCTTTATGTCTATTCTATGCCTATGAGGTATATTCATTTATCAAGCGTGGAACCAGTTTACAAAAAGTAGTGTACTACCTCCTTATCCCCACCGTCTCTGTGGGGAATTTGCCCAGCACTGGGCAAATGAGACCTTGCACTGGCTGAGTGGTTCTCATCAGCACAGGGCTCTGAGGAGCACAGTAAAATACATCATTGCTCCAGTCTAGTACAGCCTTGTGTGGCTTAGACTGTGTACATCACTTATAAAATTGGGCTAATTACATTAATAAACATTCATAAATCAATCCATGGTGGACCCTGTCCAAGAATTTTTACTATTTCCCTAGGGGGCTCTAAAGACGGCCGAAAGGGGCACTTTTGATTCAAGGCTCTTTCCAGGATAAACCCTCCTGAATAGTTCCCTGTAGTCAAATCAGACTGCTTCTGCTGTGCACACTGTTAGTCCCACTGAAGCTCCAGAGCTGGATCAGAGACGGCTGGGAGAGTCAGCACAGGCAGGTTTGTGTTTCAGTTTCTAGAGATGGAAAAAGATGTTGCTCCAGGTGTATTTTTTTTAAGTTAAATTAAACGGAAGGGAAACACTTCAGTAATAGGTTCAATCTCAGGCACCAGTGGTTTTGACAGGCTCACAGTAATTATAAAGATAAATTTAGCGGAATTGACTTACAAACTGGTCCCAGCTCAGACAAGCGGTCGAATGAGCACACTCCAGTCGTGCCCAAAGTTGCACAGACCTGAAAAGCAACACGAAGATAACTATTTCAGGTACATTAATTCTCCGGATTTTTTCCTTCAAACACATATTAAATGCGTTACCAGGTGAGGAAAAATAACAATTATAAAACAATTTACAAGTATTCAAAATCCTCTTAATTTCTTGAGAGTGAACAGTGAAACACGAACCACAGGACACAAGTGGTACAGTAACTACATGGAAGTGTGTCCGAAACTGATGACAGGAGGCACTTCTTTACACAAGGGGTGGTGGGAGTATGGAACAACCTGGCCAGCAATGATGTTGAAGCTGATGTCCTGGGTTATTTCAAGAAAGTGAAAGAGATCCTTGAATCAAGTAACTACAAGACAGGCCGAATGGCCTCCTCTCGCTTGTAATCTTTCTTATGTTCAGCAATACAAATGACTGAAACTATTGCCGATTTTGCTAATGATTATTATTATTTTGTGAAGTTTTTAAGTGATGTGATTTCCAGTCCTGGTCCTGGTGACCCACACACCTGCTGGTTTTTGTTCCAGTCGAGCTCTCACTGACCTCACTGACAATCAAACCCTCCATTGAATAATAATAATAATAATAATAATAATAATAATAATAATAGTGATGTGAATTGTTTGTTCCCAGCATTTAAACTTGTTGTAGCTTTGCTGTATTCTGTATCCCACACTTGGGACTAGAAACAAAATGCAGGCCCAATGGTCCAATGAAGCACCTTCGCAGATCAAGTATGGCTTCAGTTCTGTCATGAAGTAATGAAGGCGGGATGGAGTGAGCACCAGCAGGTATGGGGGTGACCTGCACCGGGACCGCGAGCCGCTGACGTAAGAGGACGGGGCACCCCACCAGAACCGGCACGAGGCCTCTCTTCCTGTCCTCTTCGATGGCCGCTCGCAGGGTCTCCCCTCGGAGAGAGAACTGATCGTCCGCGGGCAAGAAGCGGATCTTCACCAGGGAGATCAGGCCAGCCTTCTCCACTGACGAGTGCGCCTTCCGAAAGGAAACACGCCGACGTTATCTCACAGGCAGCAACACCGACCAAACAGCAGCTCCGCGGCAAAAACCCTTTACAGATTGCAGTGCTCGCCTTTCAGTGATGCAGCATTTCGTTTGGTAATGTACTGTTTACATTGTGTGGTGTTGTCTGCTGTACTGTATGTCCCCAGAGATCAGCGCAAATACGAATTTCAATGTGCACGTACTTACGGCAGGAAACTCCGCTACCTCTCTACATTCACTCTAATCTGGAATAAGCTTTGCCTTTATAGCAAATAATACACATTTTTAAACAAAAGATTTCAAACATTCAATATACGATTTTCTAGATTGTTGTGTGATGGAGTTTTGCCAAAACGAAACTCCATCCAGTTTCTAACTGCTTCCAACAATTTTAAAGTTTTCCCAGTGGCCAACCTACCGGTGAAACTTGGTACTCTGAGATGAAACCGAAGCACAAAATGAAATTGAATAAAGTAATTATCAGCACCAGCAGAAACGACACTTGCTTGGTCTGACGCGTAGGCAATGAGCCGCGAATTCAAAACGGACTCGTCTGCCGCTGGTTCGCTCTCCTTCATCTCCAGGATTTTAGCCTTCCTGGCCGCCAGCAGGGAGATCAGTGTGGACTCGCTGACCGTGCTCTGAAAAAGACGCGGGATTAGAAGTGCGATGCTTCCTCACGGCTCGTACCTGGAGAAAACTCGCTCTCATGCACTTAGGAAATGTGACTAACGAGGTCTTATCCAGGAGTTACAGTCCGCCGGCGTGCGAAAGCCTCGTACCTGCAGGACTCCCCCGCCCCTGCTGTCTGGGTGGTGGTGGAGGAAGTGGTCGGGCAGGCCGAGGGCTTTGGCGAGCCAGTCCAGCACGTTCATCTCCAGCTCGGTGCACGCTGGACTGGAGGCCTGCGCAACGACAGCACAGCGCGGTCACTCCCGCTGCCTACGGATCCTCAACGCCCTGAGCTCACGCTGGGGACCACAGAGCTTGACTTTTGAATTTACTGTTTCGATTACTTAGAAATCGTACTTTCGGATGCAAGATTCTATCAGAACCGTGATTTTATCTCTCTTGAATTCTGCTGAAGTGTATAAAAAGCCGCACTGATATCACTGGTAATAGTAATGTGTGGTCATTGACCACACATTAACAAACCATTTGTTGGTTGCCGCGTATATTAATTAGCATACTCTATAGTCTAACTCCTGACGTTTCTACGTACATTAATTATACTACATAAACTATATCTGGTCGCTCCGTTCGTATATGAGACAGAATTCAATGTTATTTTTCATTTATAACGGTCCGCAGTGCACGAACACCTCCACACACATGGGCTACTGAGCAGGTCAAGAACCGAGCCCGAGAAGCCGAGCAGCCGCTCACCCAGGTGAAGCCCAGGCAGTTGATGGCGTCCGCCAGCATGTCGCCGAGAAGGGAGGGCCAGGAGGTGAGAGCGGGGAAGTACGCGTGCATGTGGGGGCTCTGCCAGTGGACCACCTACAACACAGCAAAGCACAGCACCGGGGGGCGCACGTCAGTCCTTTCCACCTCGCACAGCTTCTTCATGAGTTTTCCCGATTTGTATAAAACCGCCATGCGTCGCTTTTCCTTTTCTATAAGGCCACAGATAGGAACAGATAGGATACAGAATTAATGTTTTTATCACTGTCTGAATGACTGCATTGGACAGTTATTTTAATAAAAGGCCGCCCTTACTCTCTCCCGTTGTTCAGACCGTTACAGTCACCTGGATCTGAGCTAGTTCTGCGGAAGACGGCGCTCTTACTATACTGTAACGCAACGGAGGCTCAGGCGGGCGCCCTTGCCGCATTAGGTCGGCCCCGCACCGTCAGGGGCTCGAACCCGGGACTCCCACGTCTCTCTGCAGTGACCTAGCCCCGGGAGCCAAAGAGAGCTGTAGTCCTGCTATCACAGGGAAGGGCGGTGACATCTGTTCTGGTACGCCGGCTCTTACACAGTGCCCGTCGGCCGTAAGCGTTACAATACAGAACGTCTGCTATCGCAGGAACTGTGTAGGCAAGACCCATATCGGCACTGCTGCACTTCTCGGAAATGAACAGTTTTGGAGCAAGATACTTTAGATTCAACATCGTTTTGAGGGAAAAAATGCATTCTGTAAATAATGTATAATATATTCTTTAAATACTACTACAATACTACTGACAGCAACTACGTGGAAGTACAAAACAGGTTAGTGAATAAAATGTTAAAAAAATAATTATCATTTTAATTAGCAGCGGAGTCATCACTATTGATAATACTATATACTGTACACCTCGAACACTGGTGAGAATGCCGCATTTTCCTTTCACTCAATATTATTTTTTCGAAACATGCCCTTAAAACAACGTATCACTTAAAATGTGTTATTATTAAAAGGTATTCATTACAAAATGAGAATAAGTTGCTTTTTCAACTAGTTTCGATTCTTAATTTTTTAAGACTGTGTCGTCAATAGTCGAACTACATCAAACGTATTTGATGACTGGAAGTGAAGCTACAATTTAATAATGCTACATTTATTTTTGCTGTTAAACCAGTGATAAACACGTTAAAGCATTCTTTATCGAAAACATGCAATGGTATCGTTCTTTATAAACTAGCAAACACATGCAAAAGGAAAAGGTTACACATTTTTATTTTTTAGAACTGACTGGACAGAGCGTACAAAGAGGTCTCTTTTACATCAATGCCAGCTGCCACAACTTCACCGGACAAATATTTGTGCATAGTAATGGATTTATACCTAGGCTGTGGACAGCTATATCACATGAAAATATATGATAAAGCTAACATAAATTCGTAGGCAACTCTAAATACAATTAGACCTGTTATTTAAGGTGTAACGACTGTAATTAATAAGTCTAAACTTTATTTTATATAGCGCCTTTAAAGGTGGCTTCTCAATCCGCTTAATATCGCAAAGCGCTTAAAGCTAGGTGTGACGCACAATGCGGAGATAGTATGTAAAATGAGCAGAAAAGTGAGTTAATTCAGGTTGGCTGTCGGTGTAATATGCTGAACCGCGAACATGGTTTCCTTTCCTGGTGGGCAGTGTGTCTGCGGGTGTCATTCTAACACAGCTCTTGAAGGGTTAAACCAGCAGGTGACTGACTGACTTAGCCGGCTCAGGTTCACAACTTCTGTCCCGTTCATCCGCCTCAGACACACTGTCACTCTGACACGAAGACTGGACACCTTCTCGAGAAATCAACAGACTTTTCCACTCAAGGTATACCTGTCGGCGTCAAACCACCGGTAAACTTGAAAGTAACAGTAACTGAAAGGTTTAAAGGAATAGTGACGAGTAAAGTAAAGCAAATTCCGCATGCCTACAT